TAGGAGTTTCAAATAGTGGGATGCAATTATTAAGCTCTAGTGTTATAGGAATCAAACTCATAATTCATGTATGTATATGAGTATTAAATTCGGATAAAGTGATGGAATGTCCAAAAGGCTAAATTCTATAAGAATTTATGTAGTTTACAAGAATTCTCACTTTCTTCCTTGCAATTTATTATATAGCACTTTCGTCTTTGTAGTTTCATTCCGTAAACATCGTTGGTCCAGTTTTTCCAACATAAATTTTCAAAGAAAAAGTGGAAGAGGTGCACAAAAATGGATGGAAAACCAACTTATTAGACGGATTTGGACTAAAGCGTAATCAAAACGAAACTCCGAGGATGAAAATGTAAACAAACGAAGTAAAGACTCGTTATTGCAATTTGGTCCCGAACAGTGCGAACAGCACCACACGTCACCCACAGCGTACAAGCTAGGCGGGTTTTCTCTGTTATCCATACAATTGGACAGTACTGGAGTCGTAAAACTATGTTGGTTCTGTGCAGAGCTTGAACTTGTTGTATCAGCAGCACAGCAGCACAGCAGCTATGGAGCGTCATCTTCGACCTGTGCGCAGCTCAACGGCCATCTTATGTCCCTCGAAGTCTCTAATTACTAAACTGCCACTGTTACTGCAAAAGCCCACTTCCTCTCCTTGCCGTTTCTCCTCCTACACTTGCCCTTCCTCTAAACAGCTTTCTACCTCTTATCCGCTTCGTCCTGCAGGTTTCAGTTCACGCACTGCTTTTCTTGATTTCCCTCTGCCTCTGCGTTTCCAATTGTTGAGCTTTATGTTGCAATTTTGTTTATGGGATAATATATTGGGTTTGTACTATTTTTCCGCTTTTGTGAGTGTGTGGTTGCAAATTTGCAATTGGTTTTATATATCTCATTAACTTTTTGATGGGCTTCCACTTTCCAGTTGTTTTTGCATGTGAAATTTTCTGTTTTGGGTTTCTAGTTCCTACTTGCTTTGATTTCTTATGCTTAATCTTTGAAAAATTCGATTTGACGGTTGTACTGTGGTGCATTTCACAGGACGTTACCGAAAGCAAAACACTTTAGATGCTCGAGTTTTCTGTTTTTTGATATTTATATTGTTTATATGCTGTGTAGAGAATGAATTCCGAATTGCTTACTGTTGATTTTTGATGTCACTCAGTTTTACTGGCGAAGCCGGAGAGCCAAGCAAGCAGCGGGGTCAACACCGACGCAAGAGAATGGGCAATGCAAGGTCTGTTTTGAGTCTTTTGACTGCTTTTCAAGTTTGATTTGAATGAGAGCATGCTTGGTGTACGGATGGTGCTACTTTCATTTGCACATCAATCACTGACAATGTTCTAATTCATCTTATGTCTCACAGATTTTTATTTCTTAAGAAAGGATGTAGAAACTGCCACAATACGCATTAAAGAGATAAGAAACTCTGCTTGTCTGCACAAGTTAGAGCAAGAAGTTGCTGATTTGGAGTTGAAAGCAGCTGATACTGCCTTTTGGGATGATCGAGCTCAGGCTCAAGAAAACCTTTCGGCCCTGACTGATGTCAAAGACAGGATAAAATTGCTGAATGAGTTCAAATCACAGGTCTATGCCCAAATTTCTTTAATTCTGTTTAGAATATTGTTTTCGCATCGTTTCTATGGGGTGACATGGCATCGTCGTTGTTTTTCTGGATAATTGGTTGTGCTTGAAGTGTGATATGATGATATGAAGTGGGCAGTTTTAATATGAGTACAAAATCATACTGTCTAGTAGGAGATCTTTTACTAATTTACTCTGCATACGTATACTCATTTACAAATATTGAATATCAGAAAGTGAGCTCCTCTTAAATTGCATTGTGGATCAATTTCATTCAATGTAGGTTGAAGATGTAGAAACAATAGTCAAGCTAACTGAAGAGATGGACTCCATAGACCATGGACTTCTTGAAGAGGCTGCCAGTATCATCAAAGAATTGAACAAGGGAATGGATAGGTTTGAGTTAACTCAACTTCTTTCTGGGCCTTACGACAAAGAAGGTGCTGTCATCTTTATTACAGCCGGTGCTGGAGGTACTGATGCACAGGTAATTAGAACATATGCGCAAAGGAAGAGCAACTAGTCCTTTATGGTTCTTATAAGTTCGATGGAAATTTTAGATTCTGTGAGATGCATATGTAGGTGCTGTAACGCCATTTTACAGTAAAACATATTGCATTTCTCATGAATGAATTTCTTTTAGGAATTAAGACACATCTATCTCATTCATACCCGGCCAAAAGTAATTTATCTTACTACTTTTGAGAATACTGTACGGGGATGGTAAAGCTTTTGTTTCAGCAATTACTGAATTTGTCATCAGCATCCCCTATTCATCGTTTGTGTGGACTTCTGCTTGATTCCATGGTTATGTGTTATTTAAGAGTGTTCAGGTTAGTTCACAAATTACATGTTTATGTTTTTCTTGCATTAAACCTTTGATAATTCTCAGTGCAGGACTGGGCTGAAATGTTACTCAGGATGTATGTGAGGTGGGCAGAAAAGCAGAGATACAAGACACGAGTAGTTGAGAAATCACAGGGAGAGGAAGCTGGAATTAAGTCCGCGACAATTGAAGTTGAAGGTCGTTATGCTTATGGGTATTTGTCGGGGGAGAAAGGAACACACCGCATTGTAAGGCAGTCCCCTTTTAATGCCAAAGGTCTTCGCCAGGTATCTATAAACCTTCTGGTAACTATGAATTATTAAACATTTAATTACAGAAACTGATTATGAGGGAACAGGGTTTTCCATATGCGGAGAGTTGACATACGTCTTGTTGAGTTGAACAGCCTTAGGTACATAACTAGTTTGCTAAAAATTACTACTGAAAGTGGGCGTTGCACACATTTGGAAGGAGGGGGGAGGGAAAGAGAATGGGCGCACATATCCTATATTGTGTGTTCTAACTTGAAGCTGTGTGCAGACAAGTTTCTCTGGCGTTGATGTCATGCCTCTTCTACCTGAAGAGTCTTTGAAAGTTGAATTACCTGAAGAGGACCTGGACATAAGTTTTTCAAGGGCAGGCGGAAAAGGAGGCCAGAATGTGAACAAAATTGAAAGTGCTGTCCGGATTACTCACATCCCCACTGGTGTTACCGTTCGCTGCACAGGTTTCCTTAGCCCCATAATTTCTTTGTTGGTTTTCACCAGTGAAAATATTTTCCCTTGTCATTACATCAAGTTTTGTTGGTCGGTGTATAAGAATGATAGTTTCTGGCCCCGTTTTGATTTTGTATTTGTGAAGTTTAATAAAAAAAGTACGTGAGCTTTGTGATGACCTCTATTTCTTGGCTACTGCGATGCAGAGGAGAGGTCCCAGCTTGCAAACAAGATCAAGGCTCTAGCCAGGTTGAAAGCCAAGCTGTTAGTGATTGCCGAGGAGCAAAGGGCGTCGGAAATTAAGCAAATACGAGGAGATGTGGTGAAGGCAGAATGGGGCCAACAAATCAGAAACTACGTGTTCCATCCCTACAAACTCGTCAAGGACGTGAGGACGGGACATGAGACGTCGGATATCATTTCGGTAATGGACGGTGATTTGGAGCCCTACATAAAAGCTTACCTCAAATACAAATACAGTATGAAAGTGAGCTAATTAAAATTCAGCATGTAATTAATTCTAAGTTATCTACACTACTTAATGCTTGAATTGTATAATTAGAAGCCGAGTTAGGTAGACAACAACAAGTAGTATAGCGAATCATATCATACAAAAAATCTTGGGTGCTCCCGGTATTTTAATCGTTAGATCTTGAGTTTTGGATTTTAATCAAAGATCTAACAATTATTATTCATTATCAAGAACATTAGTGGTATGTATCGAATGCTAATATTTTTTCTTCTTCTTCATGATATTGGAATAATTAAGAGAACCCTCATTGTCAAATTTTTACCACTTTTTTTTTTTTCAATTTTACCCTCACTTTTGATGCACAATACTTACATAGGGAGGGTAAAATAATAATTGTGTATCTTTTGAGAAAATGACAATCATATTCCAATTTTTCTTATTTTATCCTCACTTTTGATGCACAATATTTACATAAAGAGGGTAAAATGGTAATTATGTAATATTAAGAAAAATATGCCCTTATTAAGAGATCCTATCATCAATGTCTCATATTTTTTTTAAAATTTTAAAAACTAATCACACTCCTTAATTAAAAACAAAAAAGAAAATGAAATTGTTCACACACAAAGTGTGTGCTCATCTTCTAGTATTTTATAAGAAAAAGGAAAATAAGATCTATTAGTTTACGTTTATGCAATTATAATGAATTAGGGACTCTAGATTTCAAATTTAATAATAGAAGAATTATATTTTTCTTTAAAATTTATATAAAACGTTGAATTGGAAAATAGAAAAATGTTGAATTGGAAAATAGAAAAATGACTTAGATAAAGGTGAAAGCACTTGCCATCTAATACCATGGTTTAGTGGTATTCGATTTTAAGTTCGATTATCGTCTAAAATGAATTTGAACCATATTATTATAACTCGTTCACTATGAGTGTAAATAATATCTTTTGTTAAAAAAAAAAATGCGTTCATCGCTCGTCCACTATAAGTGTAAATAATATATTTTGTTAAAAAAAGAAAAAGAAAAAGTACGTTCATCGCTCGTCCACTATAAGTGTAAATAATATTTTTTGTTAAAAAAAAAAAAAAAGTGCGTTCATCTGACGTGTATAGTACAGGCTACGCCTACAGCCCAGTAAATAATGACTCACCCCACGCACATCACCCTTTTCACCAAAATTCCCCATGTACGGTACTCACGGGTCTCGGTCCTCAAAGTTGAATCCGGATCAAAGGTTTCAGTGATTCGTAAATTGTGTGTATCTATCTTACAACAGTAATTAACAAAAATTAATTACAAAATGTACAATTAACGAACAGAATTAATAACATCCTCGTCAAAAAGGATCAGGAGAGAGGATCCCGTTGGCTCAAATTTTGTTTACCGATGAAAGAAAGAAGGAATGAAAGAAGAAAACCCAACGACCCACAAAGAAAGTTAGAGAATAGCCTTCCAAGTTTAGTTTTCGACTCTCTCTCTACTAATAATTTGATGAGAACCGAAAACTTCCTGGGCAAGTTCTTTAAAAAGGTGACCGAGACCGACTCACTCACTCTACGTATAAATTCAATTCAGTTCTCAAGTAAGTAATCCACATTCACAAACACACTCTTGGAATCCTGGAATCCTGGAATCCATTCCTTTCCTCCCTCCTCCCTTGGGCTCTGCCCACGGGAAGTTGTTAGAATTCGATCCATCACTTACTCTTGTAAGTTGCTAACTCAATCACATTGCTCACTCTTTCTTTCTCTGCAATTTTAATTCTCGCTTTGTTTGCTTTTCACTTTTCGATTTCTTAACGAATCAATGCTTTTGTTTTTGTTCTTGTTCTTGTCTCTTTTTTTCAAATTTTTTTATTTATGAAACAGTGAAGCTATATCGCGGGGAAAAGCTGCAAAACCAGCTGCCATGGAGATCGACGGAGCCCAATCACCCACTGACCCTGATCCTCTCCCATTCGCCAGAAGGTCTTCTAAAAATGACGAAGTGTGTGTATGTAGGAAGAGTTGATTTCCTACTGATTTGAACTTTCATACATTTCCGATGAATTAAATTAAAGCCTTATGGGGAAGGCCAACTTATATACAATGAGGTTAAAGCTTTTCACCTATACTACATGTGGAGAAACCTTTATACCGACACCACACTCAGCAACTGCACACATTCAGCAATATTAAAATGTTCTTCCCTGCTGTCTTTCCTTTGATTGTAGTGATGGCAGGTACACCCATGCTTGCCAACTGAGATTCCGCATGTGGAGCATCAAAGCATGGAGTGGATGTATAATTAATACATGGCAGATACACCCATGCTTGCCAACTGGGATTCTGCACTGCATGTGGAGCATCAAAGCATGGAGTGAATGTATAATTAATACAAGGATTTCAACACTCCCCCTCAAGTTGGAGCATGAATGTTTTGAACGCCCAACTTGCTGAGAAGAGAATGAAACGATGCCTTTCCTAGTGCTTTTGTAAATATGTCGGCCAACTGATGTTTTGAAGGTGTGAACTTTGTTGCAATCATTCCTGAATGTAACTTTTCTCGGACCAAGTGACAATCTAATTCGATATGTTTAGTTCGCTCGTGGAAAACTGGATTAGCTGCAATGTGTAGTGCTGCCTTATTGTCACAGTAAACATGAGCTGGAGCTGCATGGGAGACCTGTAAATCTTGTAACAAATAACGAAGCCACGTAAGTTCACAAGTGATTGCAGCCATTGATCTATATTCTGCCTCTGCAGATGATCGTGAAACCGTATGTTGTTTTTTTGTCTTCCAGGAGATAAGTGATTTCCCCAAAAACACACAATAACCTGTCACAGACCTTCTAGTCGTTAGACATGATGCCCATGAAGCATCACAGTAACCACTCAATTGTAAAGTATCTGTAGATGGAAAAAATAGACCTTGTCCTGGAGTCCCTTTGAGGTATTTCAAGATTCGCATAGCAGCTTCAAGGTGAGGCTTGCGTGGTTGGTTCATGAACTGGCTAAGGTTTTGGACAGAAAATGTGATATCTGGCCTTGTTATGGTGAGGTAGATGAGTCGTCCCACGATCCTTCTATATCTGGTTGGATCATTCAATAATTCACCATCCGTTGGCCTTAACTTCAAGTCTTGTTCCATGGGAAAATCTACTGGACATGCCCCTAATAGTCCAACATCGTCCAGTATGTCCAAAACATATTTCCTTTGTGAGATAGAAATGCCTTGCTGTGAACGAGCCACTTCAATCCCAAGAAAATATTTGAGAGGTCCGAGTTCCTTAATACGAAACTGATGATGAAGGAATTGTTTTAACCGTTGAATGGCCTCATGGTTGTTCCCTGTAATGATCATGTCATCAACATAGATAAGAACCACTGTAATGGAATGCGCAGTAGTGCAGGTGAACAATGAATAGTCTGCGGTTGATTGTTTGAACCCCACGAGTTGAATAGCTTGAGAAAACTTTGAAAACCATTGACGGGAAGCCTGCTTCAAGCCATAGAGGGATTTATGGAGTCGACAAACCAAGTTCTCCCCCTGTCGACGAAGTCCAGGAGGTGGAGACATGAAAACTTCTTCGTCCAAATCACCATGGAGAAAAGCATTCTGGACATCGAGCTGATGGAGAGGCCAGTGGCGTTGAGCAGCCACGGCCAATAAACAACGAACAGTGGTAAGTTTGGCCACGGGTGCGAATGTTTCAGAATAGTCCAGGCCTTCAATTTGAGTGTAACCTTTAGCAACCAAACGCGCTTTATAGCGCTCGATGGAGCCATCAGAGCGATATTTGATCTTGTAAACCCACTTGCTGCCAATTGCACGTTTTCCAGGAGGCAGGGAAGTGAGTGTCCAGGTATGGTTCTGTGCAAGTGCAGCAAGTTCAGACTGCATGGCAGCTTGCCAATTAGGATCAAGGTTGGCCTGGGAAAAAGAAGTAGGTTCGATGCTACGAGTGATATTATTGATAAACACTTGATGAGATGATGATAAATGTGAAGGAGAGAGATAATGAGAGAGGGGATAGCGAGTACCTGACCGCGAAGAAGAAGCGGAAGTGGAAGGCGCCGTGGTGACCTGTGAACAATCATAATCCTTTAGTAACACAGAAGGTTGCCTGGGGCGGAGGCCACGACCAAGGGCAGGTGGTGGTGAGGGCGACACAGGTGATGGTGGCGACACAGGTGATGGTGAGAGAGGTGCGACAGTTTCGGCCGGTGAAGGAGGAGAGGTGTGCGGAGTAGAGATGATGGGAGATGAGGGTTCTTGTGGAAAGGTGGAAGAATCTGATATGGTATCGGTGAGAGAAAGAGGAATGACGGGCACAACTTCATCAGGTTGGGTGTCGAGAGGATGATGAGCAAAAGGGAAGATGTGCTCATGAAAAATCACATCACGACTAGTAAAAAATTGATGGGTGTGAAGATTGTAGAGACGATACCCCTTTTGTCCAGAAGGGTAACCAACAAAGAGACACTTGTGAGCCCTAGCATCAAACTTGTGTTTAGGAGAGGTGTGTGTGGCATAGCAAAGGCACCCAAAAACCCGTAAGTGCATGTAAGTGGGGGGGCGTGTGTAGAGCATTTCATAAGGTGTTTTTTTTGATAAAACGATGGTGGGTGTGCGATTGATAAGATAAGTGGCAGTGAGAAGACTTTCTCCCCAAAATTTGAGAGGAAGGTTTGCTTGAAAACGGAGTGCGCGACCTACATTAAGGAGGTGTCGATGTTTACGCTCCACCACCCCATTTTGTTGAGGTGTGTGTGGGCAAGTATGTTGAAAAACAGTACCTGAGTTGGCAAAAAATGAACGCATGGATATGAATTCTGCGCCATTATCAGTGCGTACTTGTTTAACTTGACGCTGAAATTGAGTGTTGACATAAGCAAAAAATAGTTTGATTTTCTCTTGTGTTTCAGATTTTAAATTCATGAGAAAGAGCCAAGTAAATCGGGAGTGATCGTCAACTATGGTTAAGAAGTATTTAGCACCTGATGAAGATGGCAAACGATGCGGACCCCAAATATCACAATGTATTAACTCGAAAGGTTGCAGACTAGAAGTAGAACTTAAGGGAAAAGGTAACCTTGTTTGTTTGGCTACTGGACAGACATCACAATGAGAATCAAAATTAAAAAAGATATCAGGAATGGAACTAGATAAGACACGGGCTGGACCAGTGGAAAGATGTCCAAGGCGTTGGTGCCAGACATTGGATGATGTGGATGCAGAAGCAGCAACGACCCCAGGCTTATTTTGTCGAAAGACGAATTTTTCTGTGATTGGAACTAGGTAATACAGGCCATCACGCTCCTTCCCCAATCCAATCATCTTCTTCGTTGCCAAATCCTGTAAGAGACAAAAAGTAGGGAAGAAAATGATCAAACAATTTAATCCCCGAGTAACTTTGCTAACTGACATCAGGTTAACTCGAAAACCAGGGACACAAAGGACATCTTTTAGGTTTAAATTTGAATTGAGTTTGATTGAACCAAGACAAGAAATTGGTGCTTGTGACCCATTTGGCAGATTGACAGAGGAAGAATGTGGTCTCCTTTTGTCGTGTAAATTGAAAGAAGATGAAATGTGATCTGTAGCCCCACTGTCAATAATCCAAGAATCTGGACTGTTTGTGGAGAAAGAATAGCATTGTGTATTAGGTATACCTGCTGTATTTGCAAAAAACTGATTTTTACCATCACCACGAAGAATAGCCTTGATTTTGTTGATCTCATCCACTGTGAATTTCAAATCAACAGGTTCTTTGGTGGTGCTCGACTTGCCCTCTTCTTTGTGGGCATTATTTGCTGCTGCGCGCCTGGTTTTGTTGGGAGGTTTTACGTCCTTCCCGTGAAACTTATGGCCAGCAGGGAATCCGTGAAGGTAGAAACAGTAATCAACTGTATGAGTAGTTCCATCGCAGTAAGTACAATGAAAATCCTTACCGGTGTATGCCTTGCCACCATTATTCGGCTTGCGAGGCTGCTTATTCCAGCTGGTCTTGGATACGTGCATGGCATGTGTAGTGTTGCTTTCACCACCTTCTGCCACCTCTCTTTGTTTTTCTTCTTGTAAGGTCAAAGAATATACCTTACGAATGTTTGGTAGTGGCTGCATTAAGAGGATTTGTCCACGAACAGCCGAATAAGAGTCATCCAATCCCATGAGAAATTGAATAACCTGTTCCTGTTGTTCTCTTTCATTGATCGCTTTCATCGTTCCACATGTGCAGGCTGGGATGGTGTTGTAGGACGCTAGTTCATCCCAAAGTCCTTTGAGTTTGGTATAGTATGCCGATATGGGTCGTTGACGCTGTCGATGTTCAATGATCTCTCTTTTAATTTGAAAAATGCGAGAAACGTTTCCTTGCGAGAAACGTTCCTTCAAATCCTCCCATATCTCAGAAGGTGAATCCGTGTATAGGACACTGCTCATCAGATCATTACCAACAGAACTAACGACCCATGAGAGGACCATATCATTGCACCGTTTCCAAAGAGAATATTTGGCGTCGGTTTTTGGCGGGGCTTCTATCGAACCATCCACAAAACCGAGCTTGTTCTTGGCGCTGAGGCTGATTGTCATCGCACGACTCCATGTGGAATAATTGTCACCATCCAATGGTTTGGAAACAAGGTGTAGACTCGGGTGATCCGAGTGATGGATGTAGAATGGATCAGTGATGTCCATTGTTGTTGTGAGTTGTGGTTTGTGTTTAGGAGTTTCTTCGTCACTCATGATGAACAACGAGATCGAGCGGAAGTGTTTCAGGCACCAGGAAGGTGCTCTGATACCATCTAAAAATGACGAAGTGTGTGTATGTAGGAAGAGTTGATTTCCTACTGATTTGAACTTTCATACATTTCCGATGAATTAAATTAAAGCCTTATGGGGAAGGCCAACTTATATACAATGAGGTTAAAGCTTTTCACCTATACTACATGTGGAGAAACCTTTATACCGACACCACACTCAGCAACTGCACACATTCAGCAATATTAAAATGTTCTTCCCTGCTGTCTTTCCTTTGATTGTAGTGATGGCAGGTACACCCATGCTTGCCAACTGAGATTCCGCATGTGGAGCATCAAAGCATGGAGTGGATGTATAATTAATACATGGCAGATACACCCATGCTTGCCAACTGGGATTCTGCACTGCATGTGGAGCATCAAAGCATGGAGTGAATGTATAATTAATACAAGGATTTCAACAGGTCTTGTCTTATTTTTATTTTTCTTTTGCTCTTTTTAAATGTTAAAATTTCATTCACATCAAACGGTGATTGCGATTGATTTTTCGGTTGGCGTTGTTGTAAAAGAAGGAAATTTGTTCAAATATGAAGGCTTGGTGAACCTGTCTGTTATGTTTCGTGATTGTTTGCAGTTACCAGCTAGAAGCATTAGAGGCAGCAATTAAGAAGAACACCATAGTGTTCTTGGAGACTGGCTCTGGAAAGACTCTGATTGCCATTATGCTTCTCCGCAGCTACGCTTATTTGCTCCGCAAGCCTTCTCCTTTCATTGCCGTCTTCTTGGTTCCTAAAGTTGTCTTGGTCAAACAAGTATGCACCTACTAACTCACTCTATATAACTAGTTTTACCACTTGCATATCTCAACTCTATGAGATTCTTGCTGTGTCTTTTAATACTAGCAAGCTGAAGCTGTGAAAATGCACACCGACTTGAAAGTGGGTATGTATTGGGGAGACATGGGAGTCGACTTCTGGGATGCGGATATGTGGAAGCAACAATTAGAACAATATGAGGTAGGAGTTTTTTGTTTGTCTTTTTAATACACAATGCTTTAATCTGCTTCATTTATTTTATTCATTTTGGATTTTAATTTCAAACTTCATACCTGTGACCTCTTGATTTGTTTCATGTTTTTGTGTTGTTCCCAAATTTTATGTCATTGAAAACTGTTTCATGACCAAAGGCATCTGATTATTCTAAATGCACTATGGCGGTAAAATAAAAAAAATAAAAAATAAAAATAAAAAACTTCTATTGCACAAGTGGCAAGAACATGTTTTGTAAATTCTCAAAGTGTCTGATTAAAAAAAAAACACAATGACCGTTTATGTGGAGCAATTGGTAAGCAAGCCTCCCAAATCTTCAAGATACATGTAAATGCATCAGCACTAATAGTTTTCTATTTTGCACCTGTCAAACGTGTGTTTTTTAGTCTCATCACTCAGGAGTAAACAATTGTGTGATATTCGTTAACGGATGAAAAACAAGTGTTCTTTAACTTTCAGCTTTATAATTACAGGTGCTTGTGATGACTCCTGCAATATTGCTTAGTAATTTGAGGCATAGCTTCTTCAAACTAAGCATGATAAAGGTTTTAATTTTTGATGAGTGCCATCATGCCAGGGGTAACCACGACTATGCTTGCATAATGAAGGTGAGCCGTTTATCATTAGGTATTTGTTCATTGCCAAAATAATTACAGCGTCTTCAAAGGAAACCTGCTTGAGAGTTGATTAATTGTTTAATATTAGTTCTGTGGTCACTAAACTTGGCAGACTATTTCTGTACATTATTTGTGTGGCTTCTTCATCATGAGATTGTTGTAATAAAAAGGCTTGCTGTAATACTTGAAGGATTGTCTGATGTGCAGGACTTCTTTCATCGTGAGCTACATTCCGGTGAATCTGAACTTCCAAGAATATTTGGAATGACTGCTTCCCCCATAAAATCAAAAGGTAATGCCTTACAAAATAATTTATCATATCATTTATTGCAATATCCAATGCTTGTCCTTTTATTCTGTTTAATTTTATCCATGTATAACTTTTCTTTTGATATAGGTGGAAATTCAGAGTCATCGTATTGGAAAATAATTGATGAACTTGAGACCCTGATGAATTCAAAGGTCGATTCTGTTTATTTCAGGAAAACCTCTCTTTTTTAGCTCCCCCACTTCTCCATCCCTTTCTTGGTGTCGTATTTCTGTGTGATAATTGTTCTTTAAAGCTTTTGGGAACAATGGTAGACTGACAGAAGTTTAAATTTTACAAGCGTGAGGAGTGTTTGTCTAGATGTGTAGAGAACACATGCATGTTTTAACCATGTCATTGTTAGAGAATTCTGTTATAATTAGTTGTATTATCATGGTTCTCTGTAGACATTTTCTTGTTCTTTCTTCAGTTTTTCTCATACAAGAATATCTACTTTTCATTGTGAATTATTTTCCAATATTTTATCTTTTAACTGTGAGTTTAATATATCATTTGCTTTAACATTCTTTAAATTTACTAACCCTTTGCTTCCCCTGCTTCGTCTTGGTGGTTCAAGGTGTATACATGTGCTAGTGAATCCGTGCTTGCTGAGTTTATACCACATTCAACTACAAAGTTCAAATATTACAGGCATGACGAGATTCCATGTGGCTTGGTTGCAAATATAATAACCCAGTTGAATGCTTTGAAAGAAAAGGTATGCATCAAATTTTTTTATGATAAGATGTTGGCATTGAAAAATTTGTTTTTATGGGGAAGTAATTTTGCACCGTCCTCTGTAATTTAAAACTTGAATGGACATTTATGCTGCATTTCCTCTCTTCTGTTTCCTAGGAGGTGGAGTGTTATGTGCCTAATGTTTGTCTCTTTGCGATTTTGTTAAAGGGTGTATTTTTTTTTTTCAAATTTGAAAGGCAGTATAATGTTTGTCTGACAGACTACGGTACTAATTATTGGTCTATTTCTTCTCAGCATGAACTGTCACTAGAAAGTTTGGATCTCAGTCAATCTACATCACAATCCATAATCAATAAGATGAAGAAATTATATTCAGCTTTAACATTTTGTTTGGAAGAGCTTGGTGTTTGGCTGGCTTTAAAGGTATTAAGCAATTTCCCTGGCTCTGTTCTAGTTGTCACTGAAATGAGTGACAGACTAATGGATTTGCATTTGAGGAACAGGCTGCTTCGTTCTTTTCCCAGAAAGAAAATGAATTGTTTTCATGGGGGAAACTGGATGTGTTGGGCGAGAATATTGTGAGAAACTTCAGTTCTGAAGCTTACCAGGCGTTTGCATCTTTTGTACCATCTGGTATGTCTATTGTTCATCTGGCTACTTGTGTAGAATTTGATCTGTAATTGATGCTTACATTATTTCCGTCTTTCCTTTTCTTTTACACCTTTCATTCAGATCGAAAGTGGACTATTGCGAATGACGTTACATACGATTTGGATAAGGGGCTTCTGACTTCAAAAGTTGTCTGTCTCATCCAATTGCTTCACGAATACAGGTTGACTTGACGTGAATGACCTTTTATGTTTTTGAATATATGTAGAATGGTTTTGAATCTCTTAAGATTCGTTCTTTTAAGATCAAGATGTCCTTTGGAATGCACTGTTCCTTTTTTTGGTAAATCAATTGCCACATACTCTCAAATTCACGTAAACATATATATATATATATATATATATTATACATTATATATTATATAGTATACAGTTGAATATGGTACGTTTTCTGCTACTCAGTTAAACATTAGATGTACTGACTTTTTTTTATTACAATTAAAACCCAGGGGCTTAAAGGATTTGAGATGTATAGTTTTTGTTGAAAGGGTCATAGCAGCTGTTGTCATCGAATCATTATTTAGTACATTTTTGCCTAAACTCAATGACTGGAAGACAAAGTACATTGCGGGAAATAACAGTGCGGTGCAATTCCAAACCAGAAAAAGGCAGAACGAAATTGTTGAAGAATTCCGTAAGGGCATGGTATGCTTACTTTTGTCCTTTCTGAATCACAATACCTTGTCACTTACCAATTTCCATGTTTGATTTGGAAAATGTATATGTTTCAGGTGAATATCATTGTTGCAACATCGATTCTTGAAGAGGGGTTAGATGTTCAAAGCTGTAATTTGGTCATTAGATTTGATCCTTCCTCCACTGTTTCTAGCTTCATACAGTCTAAAGGTCGTGCAAGGATGCAAAACTCTGATTATGTGTTAATGTTGAAAAGGTAATTGTTCAGTCTGTCTGAAATTAATCTCTTCCCTAATTTTTCTATAGATGTATTTGTTGCCCTAATGAAACTTGACCATAATTTTGTTTGTGCAAGAAAATTCATATTCTACTCTCTCCTTTAGTGAATTCATATTTAGTTTGACTGTTTAGGCCAATTCTTCTAGGATCAGTTCCTAGTACTATGGCTAATTATTTTTGTCTGCAGTGGTGATTCCAGTACACATTCTCGAGTACAAAATTATCTTGCTAGTGGAGCTATAATGAGAAAGGAGTCCTTACGCCATTCTTCTCTTCCCTGCACACCTTTGGAAATTGATTTGCAGGATGATGACTTTTATCGTGTTGAAAGTACTGGAGCAAGCTTGAGCCTTGCTTCCTCTATTGGATTGGTGTACTTCTATTGCTCAAGGCTCCCTTCTGATGGGTTAGTTTAGTGAAACACTCTGTAATTAGTGCTGCTATGTACTCTATTAATTGATTTTTCTGATGATTTATTTTTATTTTTTAATTTATTTTTCAGATATTTTAAACCTGCTCCAAGATGGGATAAGGAGACTTGCACTTTGCATCTTCCCAAGAGCTGTCCAATACCTGATGTTCATGTAAAAGGAGATGTTAAAATTTTGAAGCAACTTGCATGCTTTGAAGCTTGCAAGGAACTTCACAAAATTGGTGCCTTAACGGATAATCTTGTTCCAGATATTGTTGAGGAAGAAGGCACACAAGAGCTTGGTAACTTCTCTAACCTTTACTTGCCCATCCTTAGCTTCTAATATCGTTTTGAACTTTAGTATGTTTTTTAACAAATTCTAATTGGGCTGTGTGCAGGGTCGGAACCGTATGATGATGTACAGTGCAGCTATGTTCCAATTGAATTAGTCAAGCCCTTTTGCTCAAATGATCCTAGTATATTGTATCATTGCTACTTAATTGAGCTGAATCAGAATTTTGAATATGATATTCCAGTTCATAATATTGTACTTGGTATGAGGTGTGAGCTTGATTGCGATATTGCAAATATGCATTTTGACTTGGAAGTCGGCAGAGGTAGTTTAACAGTAAACTTTAAATATGTTGGAGAAATTCATCTACATTCAGAACAGGTATTGTTTTGATTTCTCTACTGCTCTTTTAGTATTATATGATGCATGAGATTAACTGACGTGTTATCATGTTCATATGACTTTATTTGTAGGTACTTCTGTGTAGAAGGTTCCAAATCACAATTTTTCGAATTCTAATAGATCACAATTTGAATAAGCTGGGAAAAGTTTTAGATGGACTTTGTTCGGGAGGAAATGTTGGGATTGATTATCTTTTACTCCCGGGGACCAGAATACATCAGGAAGCTGTGATCATTGATTGGAGATGTGTTACATCTGTGTTATTTGCATCTGAAGAATATTCCAAGGATCATGTAAATTGTTCAACGCATAACGGTTGTTCCCGTTTGGTACATACCAAACAGGGTTTGGTTTGTACATGCATGATCCAGAATTCTTTGGTTTGTACCCCTCATAATGGTACCATATATTGCATCACTGGTTTGTTGAGTAACTTGAATGGAAACTCACTTCTTAAGCTCAGGGATGGCAGAGCTCTTACGTATAAGAAATACTACGAAGAAAAGTATGTGCTTTTGTTGTATCCTTGTGAATTTGTTGCCATTGATGAGCTTGTGTATCCAAGAACTTAAATGATGCATGCAACAAGAAAAGAACATGATGAACTACGTGTGCTAACATTGTATCCCAGCCATTTATGAGTAACTCAAAATGTTTCTCTTATTGTAGACACAAGATCAACATGTATTTTGATCGACAATTGCTACTGAAAGGGAGACGAATTTTCCAGGTGCAAAATTATCTACAAAGGTGCAGACAACAGAAAGAAAAAGGTCAGATATTCTAATTTTTTTACTCTCATGTCGATAGCCATGCTAAGTGTATGATGAGATTTGCAGGAAAATGACATGCATGCTTTTCTTTATTGCTTTGAAAATCAGTGGATTTTGCATAAAAAACTTACAATGCCTATTTTGATTAAGTTCTATAATAACGAGCAATATTTTTTGATCGTATAAAGAGCACAATGTTGTTGCAATGTTGCATAACATTTCATGTATGAAACCAAAAGGAATATATGGGGCAATTCATATCGGTTTTTCATAAGAATGAGTTAAAGTTGGAAATTTTTTTGATAGTATCAGTGTTGAGATTTTGTCCATTGGATCCCATTCTTGTTTTCATGCTTATTTCTTGTTGAGTAATAAACTTAACGTGTTTTTTCTTTGCAGAATCGAGTCATACATCTGTTGAATTGCCGCCTGAATTTTGTTCTATAATTATGTCACCTATATCAATCAGCAGTGTATATTCATACTCATTTGTTCCTTCAATCATGCATCAACTTGAGGCTTTACTTATTGCTGCCAGCTTGAAAAGGATTGTTTTGGATCATTGCACACAAAATGTTATCATTCCAACCGTTAAGGTATTATACTAATTTGTTTTGAGGGGGAAAATACTATATTGTTTGTGACTTTTCTCTAATTTGATGAATTTGTTGGTCTGCTAGATTGTTTTCCCTTTCACTTCTGGCTTAGTGTTTTCTTGACATAAGCGACTTAGTGTTTTTTTGAAATAAGTGAACTTGATCATTGCTTGTGGCTCTGCAATTAATTTGGTAAAGGCGTGAGTAAATTTATAAACTGATATGTTCTTGGTGGCTGTATGACTCATATGTTTTCATAGTATTGACATGGAACGAGTATAATGGAGCAAAGTTTGAGTAAAACATCTGGATGGTAGAATGTCTATCAGGAAACTTGTGTAGTCTTTGCAAATACATGTAGTATTGGTACTTTTTCACTTGAATATGGCACACAGTTGGACTCGTAATTTAATTTTAATTTTAATTTTACTGCACAATTTTTCAATAAAGTTGTGGTAATGTGGTCCGTAACTATAATTTTTGTTTTATTTATAGCTTTGTTAGTCAGTTCTCACCTGGGAGTTTATCGTTGTACTATTGATATATTTGGTTTCATTGTGGTTCTGAACATTACATGTTGGTGCTATCTGATATCTATACGTAGGTCTTGGAAGCTATTACAACAAAAAAATGTCAAGAGAATTACCATTTGGAATCCTTGGAGGCTCTTGGAGATTCATTTCTTAAATATGCTGCTAGTCAGCAACTTTTCAAAACATATCAGAACAATCATGAAGGCCTTCTTAGTTTAAAGAAGGAGAAGATAATTTCCAATGCTGCCCTTTGCAGGCTTGGATGTGACCACAAACTTCCGGTAATATTTCTCTATTCTGCTGCTGTTAGTATTTTCCATCATTTTATTTCCGTTAGTTGTGCTGAAAGGATGCATAAAGTATTACCAGGATATATAAATAAATCAATTCTATGTTGAGAATGAGTCCCACATTGATGAGAGGAGGGACCTTGCATGGGCTTATAAGAGATCGGGCTACTCTCCATATTGCCAATTGGTTTTATGGTGGAACCCCAACTTTCTTCATTCTACAGCTCCAGATACTAAAACCCTCATTGTGCTGTTTCAAGTTTCCTTCATGACATCAAATTCAATTTTTGTCTGTTTTTTGATAAATCACTTGCTGTATTTATGACTTGTTTGCCATTCGTTTGATGTTGTAGGGCTTTATTCGTAACGAGAGTTTTGACCCAAAAGAGTGGTTTATACCTGGAGATTATTCTGGAAGTTATTTACTATATGAGGAGTTGCTTTATGACGGAAGAAAGATCTACACTAGGGAAAGACGGAAGGTCAAAAGTAAGAGTGTTGCTGATGTGGTTGAAGCACTAATTGGTGCATTTCTTAGCACAGGTGGGGAAGTAGCTGCCATATATTTCATGAATTGGGTTGGTATAAAGGTGGATTTTGTCCATATTGATGAAATTGAGGTTCCACCATAAAACCAATTGGCAATATGGGGAGTAGCCCAAGACCATATAAGCACATGGCAAACCTTGTCCCTCACCAATGTGGGACAACTCTCAACACGCCCCCGCACGTATGGCGGATTTTCAAGCCTACACGTGGACAACAACTGGGTGACGTGGAGCGCGTGTGGCCGTTTGGCTTCACACGAGGACAACCCGCTCTGATACCATGATGAATTGATATCATATCTTTATTATTCAATCTGATTGCTTTATATACATCTTACACACGCACACACAATAAACTAATGTACACACAATAAACTAATGTGGCGTGCTTGCTATCCAGGTTGTATTCCACGCATGCTTACTGTCCATGCTGCACACATCAGAGCACATGTGCTGCTGTCAGGAATGTTGCAGTGCAGTTGATGGAGCAGATGCTTGCTGTCCAGATTATATTCCACATGTGCTGCTGTCAGGGAATGTTGCAGTGCAGTTGATGGAGCAGATGAACTGAAGGACTAGATCTAACATCCCCCCGCAAGCTGAGAGGACGGGACACAACTGGAAGCTTGGAAACCAGAGTCTTGAACCTTGATGACGACAAACCTTTGGTGAATATATCAGCCACTTGATCTTGTGAACAAATAAAGTTTACAATAAGCTCACCACGCACCACTTTTTCACGTACGAAATGATAGTCAACCTCGAGGTGTTTGGTGCGGGAATGGAAAACAGGATTAGATGCCAAAGCTATCGATGAAATGTTATCACACCATAGTTGTGGACAAAGAAAAGGCAACTGTAAATCATGAAACAAAGAGCGTAGCCAAGAAATCTCTGCTGCTGTATAGGCCAGTTGCCTATACTCAGCCTCGGTGCTTGATCGGGAGACCGTCTTTTGTTTCTTGGAACTCCAGGAGATGAGGTTCGAACCCAAATATATACCATAACCTCCCGTAGAATGGCGTGTATCAGGATCTCCTGCGTAGTCTGCATCTGAGAACGCACTGAGCTGCATGCTGCCAGGTTTGTACAACAAACCTTGTGCGTAGGTAGATTTAACATACCGTAAAATGCGTTTCACAGCCATCCAGTGGGTTGTAGTAGGAGCATGCATGAACTGACACACTTGATTAACGGCATATGAAAGATCAGGACGTGTGATCGTAAGATACTGTAAGGCCCCCACAACACTTCTGTAAGTGTAAGGATCAGGATGTGGATCACCCTCATGTAGACTGAGTTTCTGACCTGCACAGACGGGCGTTGAAATAGGCTTGGCATCAAGAAAATTGGTCCGCTTCAGAAGATCCAATGCATACTTTGCTTGACTAAGATGCATCAGATTATGCGAAGAGGAGACTTCCACACCCAGAAAATAGTGGAGAGGCCCCAAGTCTTTCATTGAAAATAATGTGCGTAGCTGCTGGATTAAACGATGCATTTGTTGTGGATGATTGCCTGTAAGTAATATATCATCGACATAAATCAACAGAAGTAAATAAACACCTTGTTGCTTGAAGACAAACAACGAATAATCACACTTAGATTCCTGAAAACCCAAATGAAGCAGGAAATCCGAGAAACGTTGAAACCAAGCTCTCGGTGCTTGTTTCAAACCGTACAAGCTTCGTTGTAACCTGCATACATGATGTGGGTATTGGGAATCAACAAACCCAACAGGCTGCCTCATATACACCTCCTCCGCTAGATACCCGTGTAAAAAGGCATTCTGAACGTCAAGTTGACGAACTGGCCATTGATTTGAGACTGCAAGACTAAGTACTAATCGAATGGTACTGTGCTTGACCACTGGACTGAACGTTTCGCCATAATCCACGCCATGTTGCTGATGAAACCCATTGGCAACTAGCCGTGCCTTATATCGGTCGATGGAGCCGTTTGCATGTCGTTTAATCTTATAAACCCACTTGTTTGGGAGCAAATTCATATGAGGTTTGTAGGGAACAAGATTCCACGTCCCAGAACGCTGTAAGGCATTAAATTCTGTGACCATAGCATTTCGCCATTCCTGTTGTTTCACGGCTTGACTAAAGGACGTAGGTTCAACAGGTGTATCAGTGGTGACAACATGCAAAGCATATTTGGGATTAGGTTTCTGGATGCCAGCTTTGGAGCGTGTTTGCATGTGATGTACGGGATTAGGTGCACAACTAAGGTCCGGTTGCTGTTCAGGTTCACTGATAAGTTCTTGCTCATTGGGCATTTCTAAGGGCACAATATCAGGGTTGAGAACAGGAGGCACACTAGGGTTGGCTATGGAATCCACAGAAGAAGTTATATTTGTTGGGGGAGGATCATGGGAAAGAAGTTGGGCAGTGCTAGGAGAGGCGATGACTGGGGAGTGTGATGGAGATAAGGAAGGGAAAACAAATAAGAGATCAGATGAAGGAGAACTACCTGTGGCATGGACGCTTTCCTTTTGAAGTGTGATATCCTTGAATGGAAAAGAGTCCTCATCAAAGAGGACATGGCGAGACAAGTAAACTCGTCGTGTAGATACATCCAAACATTTGTACCCCTGATGATCTAGCGAATAACCTAAGAAAACACATGATTTGGACTTAGCCTCAAGTTTGTGTTGTGTGTAGGGTCTCAGCCACGGGAAACACCTACACCCAAAGACTTTAAAAAAATCATATTTTGGTGTTCTTGTAAACAATTTTTCATAAGGTGACTTATTCGACAGAACACGAGTAGGCAACCTATTGATGATATAGGTGGCTGTTTGACACGCATCAGGCCAAAAGTTTGAGGGAACAGCAGCATGAGACAACATGACTATGGCAGTTTCGACAATATGACGATGTTTCCTTTCTGCAAGACCATTTTGTTCTGGGTGTTTGGGACAAGAAAACCTTTGTGAGATGCCATGTTTATCTAAAAACTCTCGAAAAGCATTACTCTTATACTCTCCTCCTTCATCACATTGGAGAAGCTTGATAGAACGCTGAAACATGTTTTCAACCTTGGTTTTGAATTTTAAAAATATTTGGAACACCTCAGACTTATTTTTCATTGGAAAAATCCAAGAATATTTGGAAAAATCATCGACAAACAATAAGTAATAACGATATCCTTCATTTGAAATAACGGGTGAACACCAAACATCCGAATGTAAAAGATCTAAAGGGAATTGCGAAACAGACTCTGAAACTTGAAACGGCAATTTGGTACTCTTGCCTAATGGACACGAATGACAGAAACGTACAGCAGAGGTGCCACTAATTTGCACTTGATTATTGGAAATTAAAGATTTGATTATTTTAGACGCAGAATGGCCCAGACGATCATGCCATTTCTGTGCAGACACTCGGACTCCTAAACACGCTAGAACGGGATGATTGGATGATCCACCGCCATTAGGAAATGGGTATAACCCATTCTCACACTTCCCTCGGAAAAGCGTCCTCCGGGTCTTGAGGTCCTTAACAAGAAAGAAATGTGGAAAGATTAGTATAGAACAGCTATTGTCAAGTGTAAAACGATGGGCAGAAATTATACTGGTGGAGGCCGAAGGACAATGTAATATGTTGTTAAGTTTAAATGAGCAAGAGTCAGTCATGATTTGATTTGAACCAGAATGTGCAATAGAAAGACCAGTATCATTACCTACTCCACCAATGTTTTCATTACCATTATACTCCTTGGGATTGACAAGGTTCTGTAGCTCAGGAGTAATATGGGCGTTTGCCCCAGTATCAAGTAACCAGGAGCCATTTTGCTGACGATTCAGTGTGGTTGGAGATGAAGCCATAGCTGTTAGACGGTTGGTTGGAATACGACCTTCGTAGGCTGCATTCATGCGATGATAACAATCAAGGGCGGGATGCCCTTCTCTTCCACAGATTTGACAAGTTATACGACCACCATAGGAAACAGACCTTGCAGCGGATTGTTGTCTGTGGGCATTGTTGTTGCGAGAAACAAACCCTCTCTGATTTACAGAGGGACCACGGTTGGACGGTCCAGCGCCTCGCCCAGTACCTCGAAGACGTCCACCACGTCCTCTTGCAGCCACATACACATTAACGGGAGTAGTGTCTGTCACTTGAACAGTTTGCTCCGCCATCCTTCTCTCAGTGGTGAGAAGGAGAGACTCTAGAGTGGGATACGTGATAGGAGAATCACGTGCTTGTGCGGCATTCACGGTCATTTCAAAAACAGGTCCAAGATTATTGAGAATAATCTGAACAAGCTCATCCTCTTCAACTGGTTTGCCAGCTAGGGCTAGGTTGTCAGAAATAGAATTCATCTTGTCAAGAAAATCAGCAATTGAAAGGTCACCTTTTTTGGTTTGCAACAGTTCGTTGCGCAGAAACAGAATTCGATTCTGAGAGGATGATGCATAGCGCTGCTCCAAAGCTTCCCAAGTTGCTCGAGACGTGCGCTTGCTTGCCACAGTTGACAACACAGAAGCTGTGAGCGAGCCATTGATCCAGCTGAGGATCATTTGATCATGTTGCATCCAGGTAATATACGACGGATTGACTGCAGTATTTCCAGGAAGATTCATAGGAGGACAAACACAGGAGCCATCTACGTACCCCATTAGATCACGACTCCTCAAGATAGGAAGAATCTGGGCTAACCACAATGGGTAGTTAGTTCGATCGAGTTTGATGTTGACGATGGTGGTCATGGCGGAGGAAAACGGGATGGTTGTGTTGTTGCTGCTAGTATCAGACGACATAATGAAAGATAGTAGATGGGAGAAAAAAAAAAAAAAAAAAATATTGGATCGATGTCGTTGGACTTAGAGAGCTCTGTGTACCATGATGAATTGATATCATATCTTTATTATTCAATCTGATTGCTTTATATACATCTTACACACGCACACACAATAAACTAATGTACACACAATAAACTAATGTGGCGTGCTTGCTATCCAGGTTGTATTCCACGCATGCTTACTGTCCATGCTGCACACATCAGAGCACATGTGCTGCTGTCAGGAATGTTGCAGTGCAGTTGATGGAGCAGATGCTTGCTGTCCAGATTATATTCCACATGTGCTGCTGTCAGGGAATGTTGCAGTGCAGTTGATGGAGCAGATGAACTGAAGGACTAGATCTAACACATATACCATGCGAGAGGCACTTCCAACTGCAACCGGAGAAGCTTGTCAATGTCGGACATTTAGAGTCCTTACTGAACTACTCATTCCGTGATCCTTCTCTTCTTGTTGAGGCACTAACCCATGGTTCGTACATGCTTCCCGAAATTCCAGGATGTTATCAGGTACAGTGAAATTTATACATGGTATTACTATTTTGTAACTGAATGCCAACCTCCTCACGTGGGATATGCTCACACGATAACAGTGCATACTTTTACTTCGTTTCAACTTCTTTGAATCGTCTTTTCAATACTTTAATGCTACATTACATTACATGATAGTAATCTGCTGCATTTGACAGCGGTTTTCTGTGCTCAGCACTGCTTAAACAGTTTTTCCGAGTCTCCATAATGCATCTTATTTCATAGGTCACATGTTCCTTTACATGACCTGCAATCTTTCATCCTCTATCATCTGTTCTGCTCAACAGTATATTATTTCTTGTGCAGCGGCTGGAATTTCTCGGGGATGCTGTGTTAGATTATCTGATCACTATATATTTGTACAATGAGTATCCTGGGATGTCACCGGGAATCTTAACTGATATGAGGTCCGCCTCTGTGAACAACGACTGTTATGCTCGCTCTGCTATTAAGGCTGAGTTGTACAAGCACATTCTGCATGCTTCACACAAACTGCACAAAGATATAGTTTACACAATTGAAAACTTTGAGAGGTTATCTACGGAATCGACTTTTGGATGGGAATCTGAGACATCATTCCCCAAGGTTAGTCATCCGCCTATATATTTATATCTATGCATTAATGTATTCTACAGGAGAACTTTTTGCAACTCTCTGTCTGACATGATGGTCTTATATTTTTCCCCTTCTTGATGACAGGTACTTGGAGATGTTGTCGAGTCTCTAGCAGGGGCAATTTATGTTGATTCTGGATATGATAAGAAGATTGTCTTTCAAAGTATAAGTCCTCTCTTGCAGCCCTTGATTACTCCAGAGACGTTGAAGCTCCATCCTGTAAGAGAGTTGAACGAACATTGCCAGAAAATGCATTATGACATGAAGAAACCCGTGAAGACTTCCCACAACGGTGTGGCTGCCATTACAATAGAGGTCGAAGCTAATGGGTTCACGTACAAGCATACATCAACAGCTTCTAATAAGAAGACGGCATTGAAATTAGCCTGCAAGGAGGTTTTGAGGTCCTTGAAAGAAACTACACAGCTTGCAAGAAATTCATGAACAGTTGTACTGCTATAATAATGCGTTGGAGAACCAACAGTGTAGGCATGTCTAAAGTTATGGTATGTATCTTCTTAGAGGTACTATAACTTCTTAAAGGTGCAGTAGCGGCGCTGTAACTGGGCAAGAATTGGCGGATGGATTATATGTTATGGATCGGTCGTTGGTGAATTAATGCAATTGTTCTACTGCTTTGTGTTAAAATATTGACATACTCGATCTGTCCATCAGGGAATTCCTCAGAACCCTAAACCTAGTCAAAACCATAATGCATTTTTGATACTTTGGAAAGAAAAAAGATGTACAAGTAAAAATGAGTGTAGGTTTTCCGTCAACATGGTTTCGATGTAGCCCTTCCCATAGAAGGCACTGTCTCGTGGGTGCTAAATCAAATGCAACAAGATGGAGCTTCAGATCAAAAGATTCATGATGCCTTCTTTTTCCCAAACAGTAAGCTCAACGAGTAAGTGTTCCCCTTCCGTGCAGCTGCTTCAACTCGATTTCCACCAATCTAGGAATTGTATTAAACCAGCAACTCCATGTCAGTGTCAGAAATGCAGGCAACGGCCGAAAAGGAAAGGGCAAACTCATGCTAACCACAGATAAACCAGAGGTACAGAAATTACCTTGTCCATGAGCCAATAACCAATAGTTGGCATGTATTGCACCAAGTACATTACAGCCAGCACAGGCTACAATACAATCAATTACAAAATATGGATAAGCATAACTACGATAACATACATATTATCTTGGTAGTCAGACCTATACAATGGATGGCGATACTAATGTCAATACCTGGTAAGATATCCAAGCTTCTTTCAGACCATGGGTGGCAGCAACTATCGTCAACTCTGCACATCTTTCTGATGACACACGCTTCTGTTAAAACAGAAAAATAACACAAAAGGATTAAGAAACATTTCAATGCAAGAGGTTCAAATTATAACATGTCCCCAGCCCATTAACGCCCTCTCGAGTCAAAACGGGTTAAGTAGGCAGCACATAAGTAACGAATGAAAATAAATTAGATGTTTGGAGATAAACATACACAGCCAGAATGAATAACACATAGGGAGAAGGGGAAAAAAAGAATATATACATATACATATACATATATATAATCATCCTGGGAAATGATCCTGTGGAGAGTCATCCACTCAGGATGCCTCTGATTGCACTAAATAGAAGGTGTGAGTGTGGGTGGGGGTAGGGTGAGTTGGGGGTTCTCCGGCATGTTGTTACCCATACAGGGGGCAGGAGGACAATTTCATATAGACATAACAAGATCATGGTAAGGATAATAAGAGCTAACCTCACGAGAAGCTTTATTTTCAGAGCTTGCTGCTCCAGAAGCATTTGATGTTTCTATTGGCCCAGGGCAAACAATGGTCACCTGGATTCCTTTCTGACACAGCTGTACTCAAGAAAGATGAACTAGCACCATTTGGTAAATATAGCAAACAGATATTGGAGCTATATTAACAGTTTAATTTTGATAAGAATAATTTGAATAACGCATAAACACACCACTCCTCTTCGTGTCGTTAGTAAGTCTAGATACAATGGAGAACTTTGATTAGTGAGAATTGTAAAGATTTTCCACTCTTATTAGATATTTGCATCATTCTAAAGTTTCCTATCTTTACCATTCCATTTCTTTGTTCAAAATCCTAAACTACCAGTGCAGTGTGTACTGTCACAATTAGTCCATTGTACGGGACAAAGTATTAATGCCATTTAGCTCATGAGATATGAAATACATACAAGTCATAGAAATTCAATTTTACCTCAGAACGCAACGTGTGAAAGTACCCGTTTAATGCGTGTTTAGAGGCAGAGTACATGGCCTGACCTGGTGCCGGTGTCTTTCCCGCAGCACTGCTCATCTGCACATAGCAAACAAAAAAAAGATCTAATAAGGGTGAAGAACAAAAATGGAAAACAAGCACAAAATGAAGATAATAAGAGAATATGCCTGACAATTAACACCAACAAATAACTAAGTACCTAGTGTGCTTGAATGCATGACAAATCCTATTAACTTATGCCTAGGTAGTCAGCATAACTACAGTCTTGGACATTTGAGATAGTCATGTGCAGGATAAAAAGTATTGATCCATTAGGTTCTTTACTAATATCATGTCACACTGCATAAAGCTATTGTGTAAGTCCTGCTGAAACTAATTAAAATTTATCCAATATATCTTTTCACTGAAATGAGTGGGTATGGCAGAGAATTTTAACAATATTTTCAACTTACCACAACAAAATGTCCCTTCCCCCGCCTCAGCATGTAAGGTGCTAGCAACCGAGTAAGCGTTAGTGTCCCAAGAACATTGACATTGAATGTCTCCTACTTGCAAGAAAGAATAAACAGGATCACTTTCATACATAAGCATTTTAAAAGTATAAAAAGGAAGGCAAGTAGCAAAACATGGCTCATTGATCCATAGGAGCCAGTAATTTTCTTAGAGATATATATATAGCATCAAATAAGCCAAGGACTCCACATATGATACCTTCAGACTCTCCTCAGTAACATCCAAAGCTGTAGTTTTCTGCCATAGGACAAAAAGAAAAGAGTTAATTAGTTTCTACTTCTCGTGTCATAAACACAAGTGCTCCAACATACGAGAATTATAAGTAGTTAAATTTCAAATTTTAAGTTTGCATTTATGTGTTTCAATTGATTGTCTCAATAACCAACAATGTCCCACACTCAGAAATTAGGAATTGCCCACTTACAGGACGCTCAACAGCTGCATTGTGGATCATATAATCAACACCAGCATTAAGAAAGAAGGACTCTGCTTTCTCTACAGCATCCTTGAGACGATCTTCACCAGATGCCAAATCCAATGGCAAAACCTTTACACCATCAGGTACATGTTTACCTGAGCATGCTAACCAAATTAAGAGAGAGGGGAGATATACTTAAAAAAGGAATGATAGCTACCCATAAAAGAACAGACCAGTCAGTTCTCTCTTGACACGCTCCAATTCAGCTTCATTACGTGCAGAAATAATGAGCTTAGCCCCCAATTTCGCAAGTTGCTTAGCAAGAATCTCCCCTTCACACAAACGTTACAGAGAGAAAAGTGAGAAAGTTTACGCATGGAAAATGACAATTGAGACGAAATTGAGGGGAACATTGGTTCAAAGTATTTGGGCAACTTTCACCAGATACAAACCACAACAAAGATAAAAGAATCCTCCTCATGAATGTATACGTAACAATTGCAGCAACATGATATGCACTATCCATTGGGAAGTAGGCAAATATACAGTTTTGTTGCTACAACAACTAAACTTATGTACGGAAACATTGTCCATGTACTTGATAACTGTCATCATTTACCATCCCTCAACGTCATTGTTGCCAGAATAATAGTAATGATACAAACGGTGGTGATAATAACAATGAAAAGTATGAAAATGGTGACAATAACAAAGACAAGTAACTGAGGCTTTACGAAAGCTAATAATCTGCAGAAAATTGAAGATAGAAAATCGAAGAAGAAGATTGAGATACCAATTCCGCGGCTAGCGCCAGTTATCCAAACAACCTGAAGAAATATGAGAATTACTGATTTGAAGAGAGAAATCAAAAGAAAAGAAACAAGCTTTTGATATTGATACGAAAAAATGGGTTACTTTATCTTCAATCTGGTCGCGCTTCGCACCGCCTTTGGACGTCAAAGTAAAATCCCCTGCAGCACACGCTTGTAAGAGCTCAGAAATTCACAGATATATGTTCCTTCATAATATTAATAAGTTGGGAAGACTGGAAATTGGGAAGAAGAAGGAAGAATAGTAATGCCATACCATCAGCTGTGGCAAATTTGATTGCTAAAAAAACAAACAGAAACAGAGAAATGAAGACTATCACCGCCACCACCATCGCCATCACTTTTCTTTCACCACCTCTCCAGGCTCTAGCATTCGACACTAGTAGATTGGTTGCTGCTGGCGGTAAATCGGGTTCGGTTCAGTTATACTACTGCTTAATTGTTCGGTTGCCTTTCCGGCCCAACCCAACTTTAATTTGGATCTGGATAGATTTTGGAGGGTAGTGTTTTTATTCGTGGATGAGCTCCAGCCCAGCACCGATTGACTGGCACCAAGTGAAGAAAACAGCCCGGCATGCAGGGAATGAGCTCCAGCCCGCAAAATTGATTGGCACCCAGCCTGTGCCAGTCAACAGCCCAGCCTAAAATGGACAGACCCAGAGGCCGGTCTGTTTCTTGACGCGTGCACAACACGCGGTGGAGATGGCGAGTAGCCGACAACGTCTGCAGGTAGTGGGGCCCGCGGTGCAGGGCAAGTGGACTGAGTCTATGAAAGGGCTACGTGGCCCTCCTCAGAGCTGTTGGATTTCCAACGGTAAAAAAAATTTAAATTTCACTTTTAAATTGGACCGTCTGATCACAGATCAACGGTCCACGTTTTTTTCACCAAAAATTAAAAAAAAAAAAAGGCCCAACAGTCAGAAATTTGACCGTTGGCTGTTGGATTTGATTATTTTTCAAATCCAACGGTCCAGATTAATTACAACATTAAAATTTATTAAAAATTAATTAAAAAATGTCAAAATTTTTTTAAAAAAATACAGAAAATTTTAAAAAAATTAATTTTTTTTTCTATAAATACCTAACCCTCATCTTCCACCTTACACCACATTTCAATATTTTATACACTTTCTACATTTGAATATTTTGTACACTTTGAGAGAAAAAAATGAGTTCGTGGAAGCTCAGTGAAGATGTTACGTTGTGTGAATGTTGGGTTCGCACTACTCATGACCCGATTACGGGTAATGAGATGGATAAGTGAGAAATGTGGAGTAAAATTACGAAATCTTAGCGGAAATCTATTAAAAAAATAGTACATTCGGATAATGACACGTGGCGTGACAAGATTGGTTAAAAATCCTATCCGAAATTAAAACTTTTTTTTTTATTTTATAAAAAAATTATTTAATATTTTAAATGGACTGGGTGCCAGCGCATTTTGTAGGGGTGGAGATCGTTTGTGCCAGCGCATTTTTAGACTAGGTGCCAGCACATTTTTTTTGGGATGGAGATACTTTGACCTATTACTGTTTATTGGGTCTATTACTGTTTAATTAAGTGGATAAATAGGCTGGGTGCTGATGCAAAGTGGATAGGGGTGGAGTTGCTCTGAGAAGCCCACATTTTCCAACCAACTTTGTACCCGAACGACGACGTGTGACCCCTGAACGTGGCTCTTCAAAGCAGGCTCTCTCCTTCTCTCGCGGTCTCACCCAACAGAACAGAGAAGGCCATTTCTCTCTCGCCCTCATACTGTAGCCGACTGATACTGTAGCTAAGCAGTAGCAGCAGGGACGAGCGAAGAAAGAGCTCTCAATGGCGGCGTCTGCGAGGAACGTACTGCTCAAGCACCTGAGACTGCAGGTTCAAGCCGTGCCTTCTAACCCTAGCTCCACCGCCCCTCTCTTCCTCTCCCCCTTTGCCGCAATCCGACGCCGTCTCTTCTCCGAGGAGGTCAGGGGCACCTTCCTCGACAAATCTGAGGTCACCGATCGGGTCGTCTCCGTCGTCAAGAACTTCCAGAAGGTCGATCCTTCCAAGGTATATCTATCTATCTATAACCGAGACAAAAGCAGCCGATTTTCTCAGAAAATGGAATTGAATGTTTGTGGGAACCATTTTTCTAATGAATTGCAATTTTGAACTAGTAGTTATTTGGTTGTTGTTGTGAAAGGTGATCATTCTGTGTTTGAGGAGTTGATTTTATACTTGTAAGATCCGTTGTATTGAATAATTAGGGTTTTTGGTAATGTCAAATTTTTGCTGCTTGCACTGTCCAGTCATAGCATCTTATTGAATGTACCCATATCCACAAACAGAACATCTGCATGCGTAGATGTTGATGGTAAATTGAAATATTGCTATTTGGGTTTCTACAAATTTTGGGCTGATGATGAAGTCATTTCTTCCAATGCAACAGCAATGGCTGATCGATTACATTATTCAGTTTTTCCACTGTCTTGTTTTTATAAGAAACAAAAATGCACAAGTAGATATGTGCAACGAGGATAGATATGTGAAGGGCGTAGATCATATACTCTGTCACTAATGTTACAGTATTGATTAACGTTGTTGATAAAGATGGGGGGTGAGCTCTCATACTTGCATCTGTTACTAATAGTTCTAGATGTATGCTATTTCATAAGCATTCTTTTTTGTCTTTATTCTTTAACCTTACACAAAGACTTGAATGTATTTCTGTATTTTGCTTTTGCATCAGTTTCTATATAGGATGAATGTCTCAAGTATAACAATGCGGCCCCTTCTTGTTTGTATTTCTTATTGTTTTGCTCGGGTTGGTGCTTATATGTTGTAACCAATATATTGTGAACGTCCCAAATTCCAATGGAGAGTAACATCCGGTTCTGGGATATGAGATTCTCAAATATGAAATGGGTGTTATCTTTATGTGGTTGTGACTGTCAAAGCTCTGCTGTTCCTTTTCTTTTCCAATATTTAATATGCAAATGTTCATTTGTCACATGTTTGTTTCATCTCGTACCTAAATCATAATGAAAAGTGAGGTTCTCTCTTTTCAAATATTTACGTATGAGCAATTTGCCTCAGAGATTCTAACGTGCTCATGTCCTTTCACATTTCATACTGATTTCATTTATAAGGCCATTATATTAATGCATTTTCATTATATTTCAATAATCTGATCTCCTGCGCATTGTTTTTCTTATTTTGGTAGGTTACCCCAAATGCTAATTTCGAAAGTGACCTGGGGTTAGATAGTTTAGATTCTGTGGAGATTGTGATGGCTCTGGAAGAGGAGTTTGGGTTTGAGATCCCTGATAATGAAGCTGACAAGATCAAGTCGATCGGTCTGGCTGTGGACTTTATTTCTTCTCACCCTCAGGCAAAGTAGGGGAAAGGCACGACGCTCCATTTTTAATTTTCTCCTGTTCCCTGCAAGGGTTTAGCTGTTAGAACTTTTGGATTTTTATAAAGGTGCCATTTTGGGATTCCTGCTCCTCCTACGAATGCTGTTTAAAGAGAGTAGTTTTTGGTATGTTCAAAACTTGAGTGTTGCGGTTCCAGTTTTATGGGAAGTGTGTTGAAAACAACTCTTTGATTGTTTCATTGATGTTTTGTTGAAATACAAACAATCGAGTTTATTGCTTATTAAACATTGCCGTTGACGATTAGCCGTGGCTTTTGGTTTCAGCTTGCTTGGTAAAGAAAAAGAGCTTAAATGATCTTTACCCTCGAGTACCTAGTTTATACTATATTGCTGGATTGCCTTTCAGTGTTTGTGCTGATTAATTTGGATGTACTACATCTGGAGCTTAAATGCCCTTCTTTTTCCACAACTTTTGCAACTATACTTGGGTTTGGTTTGTGCCATATAAGATTTTTGCTCCTCTAACTTGTATGGTCGTGTCTCATGAGTAATTGCAGAGCTTTATCTTCCTCGTTGTAGTTGTAGACTAGTTGCTCATTTCTTAACCGTAAGTGAGATGCAACGAATGAAAGACTAATTTTATATTCAAATTTGTGTTTAGTTAAGTTGGCTAGAGGAGTTTAACAAAAAAAAAAAAAAAAAAGAAAAGAAAGAAAAAAAAGGCTCGAGGAGTGTCCTCGTCTTTTTTGCATTCAAATTTAACTTTATGACTTTTAAGTTACATGGATAAAGTGAAATTAAAATAGAGTTTCACGAGGTGTAGCTAAAAGCCTTAATTTAATGTAAATTATAGTTTTGTATTATCATATTGATGCAGCAGGACCCATAATAAATGAGTAATACCTATAAAATATAATTTGTAATTGTGCAGGCGAATGACCGCACCAAGGAGGATTTCTCATGCATACAACAACCACGACAACAAAATAATAACAATAATAATAACTACCAACAACAATAATAATAATTATGATGTAGTAAGAATTTTTTTGAACAAATGATGTAGCAAGATTTAAATTCTAAGAATTTTGATTGGGTGCTGCAACGTCTCGTTCTTCTCTGATTGGTTCAAAACATTAAAAGTCCAAGAAGGTCTTCCTTCTGAGAGAGAGAAGAGGAGGACTGCGACCCAAACACAACGGCAGGGGCAGACGCAGAAGGAGGCCAAGTTGGTGCTTTAACCTTGTACCCCACACGATGACTCCACCAATAACAATAAACAAAGTCAATCGGTCTTCCATTTTCCAAGGGAAAGGAGAAGGGGAGGGCATCGCCGAAATTACACGGGAGACTTTGGGCCAAAGCTTTTGCGTCCGCTGCCATAAGTAAACCAAAAACACAAACGCTCTCTCTCCCAAGCTGCTTTTGGCTTTTGGCATTGCAATTTTTGCACTCGTGCAAGCATGGCGAAGCAGCAAAAGCAGCTGGTTTTGCTAATATTATCGCTCTCCTTGCTCTCCTTTTGCTTTCATTCCTCACTTTCAGAGATCATTTTCGAAGAGCGCTTCGACGGTATATACCCACCCTTCCTCTTCTTCCACTTCCAACTATCGCTTCAATCTATCTACTTTTACATAATCATAAGTTTCTACTTGAGATTTTAGTTGTTTTTTTCTTCACTTTGCTAACTTTATTCTGGTTGCTGCTGAACTGAATGCTAAACTCTCAACCATCTGTCTCTCTCTCTCTCTCTCTGTCTGCTGTACAACACTTACATCTCCCATTTCCCAGTTTCACTAGCTCTCTTTCTGACTATGAGAAAATATCCATGATTTTCTTTTTCGTCGAAAAAATAACTAAATTTTTTGGGCCGCGTTAAGCTTGTAATAACTAACTTTTGTACAGTTAGTTGACTTGACTCTGTGTGTGCTTGAACATGTGTAAAAAAGTAACAAGACACACCAAGAATTGATCTTTCATTCCACCGGAAAATCAATCAGTTAATCTTGATTTGTTGTGGATCAGACGACGAATGGCGAAGCCGTTGGGTGACGTCTGCCTGGAAAAGCAGTGAAGGTAAAGCAGGTTCCTTTAAACACACAGCCGGAAAGTGGTCCGGTGACCACGATGATAGAGGTATCTTCTGATTACCCTTTATTGATTAATCACTGCTAGTTTCTTATTAATTATTATCTTATATTTTTATCTATTAAACTGTGATACTGGGGCGCCGTAAGCTGGTAATAACTTACTTAACAGTCAAGGTGGTTAAACCTGTGGTGTTGATTTATGATGGCATACGAAATCTTGCAGGAATTCAGACATCTAATGATGCCAAGCATTTTGCCATATCTGCAAAGATACCGGAGTTCAGCAACAGGAACAGGACGTTGGTCCTCCAGTACTCGATCAAGTTTGAGCAGGAAATTGAATGTGGTGGCGGTTACATAAAGCTTATCTCTGGATTTGTTAATCAGAAGAAATTCAGCGGGGACACTCCATACAGGTTAGAATTCTCCATTCTCCACGTCACGGGATGAAATGTTTCTAGGCACGTTCGTATGACCTAGTCCCTTCTTAGGAACACAATGTTGTAGAAAAGGACTTCGTACATGCACATTTTGTTTAGCTGTAGTTTTTCATATGATGAGAGTTTCGTATTAGTCAAATGCAGCCATATCGACTTGCCAGTGTATATATACCATACATGAATGGTGCCCAGGTTGTGTGGGGAGAAATTCTTTTTAGTTAATCAACCACATCCCATTCCACAACACTTGGTAGTCAGTTGCATGAAACAGGATCATGTTACTGTAGCAATTTGAAACTCGTGTCTTAATCAAAGGGCACCTTTTTAAAATTTAGGGGACTGAAATGCCACGATGAGGTTCCCCAAATTTCGTTGTATAGTTCATACTTTATACAGGGAATTTTCATTGGTATCTGATACCATGGAAATTGCCGACATATAAGAGCCCGGATTGCCTGTTTATATGATGTTCTTCCTTCCTCTCTTTTCCAAATTCTGAATGTTTGCCGGACTTTATTTTTGTAGTTTAATGTTTGGTCCCGATATTTGCGGCACGGACACAAAGAAGCTCCATGTCATAGTCTCCTACCAAGGCCAGAATTACCCCATCAAGAAGGATTTACAGTGTGAAACTGACAAGTTGACTCATTTCTACACGTTCATTCTGCGACCTGATGCAACTTATAGTGTCCTAATAGACAACCGTGAAAAGGATTCTGGAAGTATGTACACAGATTGGGATATTCTGCCTCCAAGAAAGATAAAAGATGTTACTGCAAAGAAGGTAGATAAACATGTTTATTCCGAAAGGAATTCTTACTATAAGATAATGTTTTCAAAACCCAGGAAATCCTGTGAGCAACCATTTCGTAGAAGAATTAAGTTATAAAATTTTAGTCTTTGTAATTTTTCATAATTAACTTAAAAGTATCATTTTTTGTCCATCATAGCCGGCTGACTGGGATCTTAGAGAATACATTGATGATCCCAATCACATCAAACCTGAGGTATGGGAACTTTGCCCCCTCTGCCTAATGCTTGTCTCTGAGACATATCTGTTCATTGGATGTATTATGTGCTACTATTGACGCATATCTTTGTATTGCAGGGTTATGATTCAATTCCGAGAGAAATTCCGGATCCAAAAGCAAAGAAGGTTAGTTGATTACTTACGGAGCTGTACTATATACGACATCTGTTTGGTTTTTTGATTTGGACTACTATTATACCCTTCTTTGTAATCTAAAATATTAGCTTCCCCTTTTTAGTTTGATTTAGTGTTTCCCTCTTGTGGTTTGATGCATTCATATGGCAAGATATGAAATTTAATCAAGCAGTTTTGTATTTTCCCGTCTTCTAATTAGCCCGAAGAATGGGATGATGAAGAGAACGGTCTGTGGAAAGCTCCAAAGATACCAAATCCAGCTTATAAAGGACCATGGAGACCCAAGGTCGGTACTGTAGGTTGATTAAGCTTTTGTGAGGTACCAGATAAAACCGGAGGTCAATTCTTTTTCGCAATATCAAATAACTTGATTTCTTCTGATATTTCAGAAAATCAAGAACCCAAATTACAAAGGGAAGTGGAAGATTCCTTGGATTGATAATCCAGGTAAGTTTAAATAGATGACTAAATAATTTATCTGTCTGTATTGATATGCATAATTACAAGAGCCATTCCTTTTTGTTCTCCTATGCAGAGTTTGAAGATGATCCTAATCTCTATGTGCTTAAGCCAATTAATTATGTTGGTGTCGAAGTTTGGCAGGTAGGACGTTTTCCATTTGCTAGAGGATCGTATGGTCATTCGTTCATTATGTTAATGGAGGTGAAATAATGCGATGCAGGTAAAGGCTGGTTCAGTTTTCGACAACATTTTAATTTGTGATGATCCTGATTATGCAAAACAAGTGGTCAAGGAAGTCTTCGCCAATAGAGAGGTAAGCCTCTTTTGACCGTTACTAGTATTTTCCAGTTCTTTGGCAAATAATTTATCATATGCATTTCTCTTATGGCGTTTCAGGCTGAAAAGGATGCCTTTGAAGAAGCAGAAAAAAGGAGGAAAGCACAGGAGGAAGAGGTTTGTGGCCGAAAGAAATGGTTTTTAGAATTTCTTGTCAGGGTTAGTTGAATTCCATTCATAAGTATTTTGAGCTCTGATCGTGCAGGAGGCTCAAAGAGCAAGAGAAGAGGGAGAAAGGAGGAGAAGAGAGAGGGGTTATGATCGAGGTCACCGAGACAGACATAGAGACAGATACCGAAGGGTGTGTATGATTCTTTTAAATAATTTGTTTACAACTTCCATCCAGTATAAATTTTTCTATGATCACATTTGCAATTAGAGGCATCCAAATCCTGTCATGCCTAACCAGTTAGTTCTCTGTGTCATGATATTCTCTTCCTAATGTTGAAAGAGGCCTCAAGTTTGAATCCCCCCTCCCTGTGATCCAATAATTGAACATGTCGTTGCAATCAGTTGACCTAGTCTCAGTGATTAAGTTGCAACTTGAATGTTTTTCTTGCCTACTTCTAACTTTGGGCGTTTTATTTTGCAGCACCGTAATTGGGATCACTATGATCATGTAAGCACCAATATTCATGCCCTCTATGTATCTCTCTATAAATAAACTCAAGATTTTATTGCACCTGTACAAATTTATTTACGGATTGGTCTGCGGTTGCAGGACGAGCTATGATTGGGTCTCCTCCGGCCTCCATCTTCCTCTTAGATTTCCGGTCATTTTTTTCTGTCTTCGTTTTCAAGAAATGCAGAGTCACTTTTTTTTTCTCAAGTTTTTTATGGCATTGTTTTACAATGTCCTTGTTCGTGTAAACTTTATTTCTGAATGTACGCATGGATAATGTATTTTGCATAAATACTCAAGTAGCAGCTGCCCGCCTCACAAGCCTGGCTTTGTTTCTCTGCATTTTTTCTTTCCTTTTCATTCTGCAGCTACCGAATATGCTAAAATCGTAACTAGAGTAAAACACAAAGGCAAGAATCGGGTAACTTAGACCTGGTTTGGTACTGAGGTGATTCTGAAAAAAGCTGCTATCAAAAAAAGCTGGGAGCTGTTTTTGTGTTTGGTAAACACTCAGCTTCAGTTTTTTTTCACAGTTTTGGATGAAAAAAAAGCCAAAAACAAGAAGCTGCAAAACCTAGCTTTGAAAAACCGGCTTTTTTTTCACATCTGTTTTACATACAAGTTTACCAAACACTCTAATACTGCTTTTTTTTTTTTTTTTCAAAAGCACTTTTACAAAAAAGTTTACCAAACACTCTGCTGCTTTGTTTCACAGCTGCTTATTCTCACAGCACAGCAGAAGCAGCTTTTTTTCAAAGCACAACAATACCAAACCAGCCCTTAGGAGTCCCATTATATTAAGTAAACGAGAGATTCTTATGGTCCCTGAACACAAGCTATGTGGTGTATGATTCCTTGAGTTTTAAGAGTTGACAATAGGGTTTACATGTCTCACTTCTAGGATTTACAAATAAAAAGCCAATCTTCGTTTTATAATTTGAGTGGAACATTAATCCTAAGTAAATATGCCATATAGGTTTAGGAAATTAGGATTATCCGACTTTCCAATTGATTTCATACTGTTACCTAGGAGAATCGTCACAATGGTATCTCGGTCAAATAACACAATATTATGTAGAATAAGATTAACACATGGCATCGTGTTCGCCGTGCTTACCAAGGAATTAATGGAGAGTCGCTTTCGTTACCTAGACTCTTGTTTAGGATTTGATTATTTCCTATACAGTTGATCATTTCCTTTCTTGTGATGCAAGTCTCTTTCCTTCCTCTTCTCTGCCATCTACGAATAAACCCTACCCAGCTCTATATAAATACATAACAATGAGAATGAGTTGTCTCCAAGTCTGTGCGGAGCCATGAGAAGAATTGATGATCTCCAAGACCGTTTATTGGTTGAAATCTGTTGTCGACTTCCTTGTAAATCCGTTCTCCAGTGCAAGTCCGTGTCCAACCGTTGGTTCACTCTTATCTCTGATCTTTCCTTCCCCGCTTCCTATGTCTCCAAAGTGATTGGCAAACACCAACTATCTGTACTCTTCTGTTCCATGATATGTTTACAAATTATCCTCATCCTCAGCCAGTATATAATTCTGAATTCCTTGCCATGTCCAAACTTCCAGGCCTTAAATCACGCGGGTTGTCCTTGAGTTTCCTCCCTTGTTCTCAAGATGCGCCTAAATGTGAAGACGGCGAGCCTGCACTTGTGTTAGGTGATGACGACAATGATGGTCCAGCTATTGTAGCCATGTACATTGACTTCGTTTTGTGCTGCACAATGGAGTATAAACATCGCGATTACAACATTTGCAATCCATACACCAAGCAATGGGTTGTTCTTCCTCCCGCCCCTCGATCCCACAAGACAGTAAAAGTGGGATTCATCTTTGATCCCTACTGTTTTAAAGGTACGAATACTACTGGTAGTAGTGACATGATGATTAATGCCGAGTACAGGTGCAGGGTGGTGCGAATTCCCTTCTGAGCAGTTTTACACCCTTTGAATTCAACGTGGAGATGTTCTCTTCTCAGACGGGTGAGTGGAAAGAGTTAAATCTTTAATGCCGAGTACTGGTTTCCATTCAGCTGCAAGTATGATCTACAATGGAATGTTGTAGTGGTCGGGTTGCGGCAACCACATTACCAACATCGATCATCAGAAATACTTTTGTCATTTCATTCCCGAGCCTAAAGATATGGTTGGAGAAGCAGCTGGAACTAGTAAGTGCCTGGGTGAGAGCCGGGGCAAGGTTATGGGGTTGTGCCAGTTGTTAAACCATCTAGGTGGAGATGGTCCATTAGGTATCGTTTGGTATGCAGATGGGACGGGACGGAACGGAATGAGACGGAACGGGACGGGACAGGACGGAACGGAGCGGAGCGGGAGCAAAGATGCCCTCGGATGGAAACAAGGAGGAAGAAGGAGACGGAGAGGTTATAATTTTGTGTTCCACGGATGTGGAACGAGTCGTTCCAGGGGGGTGAGGTGGAACGAAAATTCATCCAAAACTCGTCCCGTGGAACAGCCCGTTCCACCCGTTTTAGGCGCACCAAACGTGGGACGGAACACCTTGTCCCACTCTGTTCCGCCCCTTCCCACGTACCAAACGGTACCTTAGAGACATCTATTCGTCTTGAGTGTTTTGGAGTTGAAGAAAGAAGATGATCAAGTGAATGGACTGGAATGGTGTTTGATAGACAGGGTGTTGGCAAGAGGCCTTCCTCTATGAGCCTCCATGGTGGCCGACAACACTTCCTAAACTTCCGGCGCCACTGATAATTAGTAACTACTTTCAGGTTCCGAGCAATGCCAATTGTTTCTGCCAAATTCATGAAGTTACCAACAATGGTTACAGTTAATAGCTTGCAGTATCATTGTGACAGTTATTTCTTTACTTTCTATCAAGCGTCAATCAGCACAGTAAGTTAGGAAAATACCTGCACAATTCTCTACCATTCTAATCCCGAAATCTCCACCAATTCAACCTTCCAATATCTATTGCAAATTATAACAAAACTACTAAAAATTTACGACCTCGTGTTGGTCCCCATGGGATTAATACAATCAAAAGGTCGAACCTAAAATGTCATTTACTTGAGTTGCCGCCACATTGTTAAACAGAAATGAGCAAACCGACTATCTTCTTCGCACAGCGGAACTTGACCCACGCTGCATTGCAGCCGGCTGCTGAGCTTGGCCTGCTGGCTGACCAGCACCCTCCTCTGCCATGTTCATTGCTTGAGTAATCGCATTCATGACAATGAGCCCAAGAGGGATCAGGTACATCCACTGTTAACATTTATGTAAGGTCAAAAATTTATTTTTTCGATACTATGAACACAATTAACAGAAGAAAGCTATGATGACAATTAATTCTGTTGATACTCACATATTTAGCCCAAAACGACCTTTCTGGTGGTGGTACAATTTCACCTTCTCCTACCTCACCCCCAACCCCAAGAATCTCCTCAGCAAACACTGGAGCTCTGAGGAAACATTCAGCAATAAAATATTAACTTATAGGGCATTCACAAAGACCTGATGATCAACATAATGATTTTTCACCAAATAAAAACATAATGATAAAGCTATAAATATTATCAGATCAAATGCCAATTGCCGCATTTCTATCCATCCTTAGGAAACATCCGAAATGAACAGAATTGATATCAAATGCACTGGGAACTCTATAATAAGATTCGCCATTTTCCACTAACAGATGTTGAAATAATTAAAAACATTCTGTAAGAGTTTAAGAAACTAGATCAAGTCAGAATCTGAACATATATTGAAAAAAGAACAAATGCAAAAGAATCACCTTGGTGCCTGCTCACTATTCTTCAAAACTGTGTGAGAGTTAAACGACCATTTTCCAGGCTGAAAATACAAATAACAAAAGCCACTGGATTAAGGTAAGCTAATTCAACAAAACTATTTCCATCCTCAAAAATAGGGTTCATTGACAAAAAAACCAGGATGAAAAGGTTTGATCCTAACTTACAAGTTTCATTTGCCGAGGATATGGACATGCCCCAGGAGAACCATAATTAACTGCCAAGATGTTAATTCCATCCTGCAAAATAAATTTAATCAAAGATATTAATTCCAGATGATAAAAAGTTTTAACCAAGATTTTGTTCCATTTGCCTCTGGTTCTAATTTGAAAAGCATGCTGACTGGAGAACATTTTTAGAACTGTTCCTATTATGATTACAATGACTGATACAATAAAGAGTTTAGAAGTAAAACCAAAGGGTAACATGAAAAAACAACAGCCAAAGTTTAGAACTTGAACAAAGTTGAAAGTTACCGTGTGTATAACAAAATGCTCATCCAAACCCTCTCGTGGAAGACATCTCTGGATATTTTGAAACATTGTTAGTAAACCTGCAGCTTTACTTATCACATTTATATGCAACCATAAAACCATCAGAGAGATAGCATGTAGACCCAGATGCTGTTACAGTAGTAATTTATGATAGAAAGAAGTTCCTCTTACAGAAAAAAAAAAAAAAAAGTTACGGGAACTTCTTTTTCAAGCATAGTTTCTGATTGCAAATATCAACATGGTGCAAAGAAAACAATTAGAAAAATATACGATCAGCTGGAAATAATAGAAGAAAATCCTTGCTTAAGACTTGCCGCTTTTACTGACGAAATGACATAATCCCTCCCAGGAGGATTCAAGACGCTGGACGGCAATCTTATCCTATAGAAGTCATCTCCCTTCAGTAGCAGCTGCAAGAAAAACATCGTCATTTCAAGTTAAGACAGAAACCAATTTGAAATGGTAAAAGCAAAAAGGACCCAGGTTTAGGGGAGAAAGCTTACTGCAAACTTCTCCTTCTCCTCTTCTGTAAAGGCATTCCTCGAAAATCGCAGCTTTGTGAGAGTCTGTGACCAATAAAACCATGTTATAGTTAAGCTACATCGTAGGTTTCTACAAAGCTACATCGTAGGTTTCTACAAAGATAAAGTGATATACAAGGCCTGAGAGTGTGTTTAAGTAGGATATACTAAGCCTGACACCGTGTTCGTATAGGTGCTAAAGTTACTAGTGTAAATTAAAAATCTCAAGTTCATCATCATGTACTTGCATCAATTGCCTTGCACCTAAAGAATTTATCAACAATACATTCATTTCTTTTCGGTTTTCGCCTAAATTTCTATGCAACCAGTTTACATGAGAAACAAATCCAGTTCAAAGCATCGAATTCCGATCTCAAATCCTCAACCACCAGAACCCCAATTTAATGACAACCAAATCCAACCGCAAAACCTGCAGTTGAAAACTCTCTCATTCACACAAAAGTTTCCTCCTTTTCTGAGCAACCAAAACATACAAGAAAAAAACTAAAAAGAAGGAAGCAACCAACCTGACCACCGTGATTCCACGTCTTTAAGCGAGCACTGAAGGTGCCAGCCGGCGAGAAATCAGAGTCCCCAAAGGCGTGATGAAGCTGGAACTGGATCTTTGAGTCCGAATCCGGATCCGAAAACCTCTTCCGGGTCGGCGACGTAGTTGGTGATGCTGGCGGAGGCGTGGATTTGGTGTATGTGAGATCAGGAGACTTAGTGTGCAGCCCTCCTTCTAGACCGAACTCCTCGTCGTCCACCAAGAGCTCATCGGATTGGAAAGCTGCTGCTACTGTAATAGACAGCACGGCGGAGATTACGAAGATCGACCGCCACTGGGACGACTGAGAGGAGGGGAGAGACAGCGCCATCGAGTTTCAGTTGAAGTCTGTGACTTTTGTGAGGGGTGAGAGAGTGGGAAGAACAATAATAGGCCCAAAGAGTGAAAATCGTAATGGGGCTGGGCCGGACTGTAAATATATTAGTTTACGAGGGCATATCAGTAAAATAAATTTTAAAAACACAATCCAAGTCCTCTTTGGTATTCTTTTCCCCCAAACTCTCCAAATCCGAAACAAACGAGCCCTAATTTCTCTCTCTGATTAAAGCCAACACGCCAACTGAAGAATCCACCATTCCAAAGCTGTCGAGGACGACGACTGGAGAGGGAGTGTGAGCGGCCATGGACGCGCTGAGGAAGCAGCTCGACCAGCTCATGGGCGCCAACCGAAACGGCGACGTCCGGGAGGTCAACCGCAAGTATTACGATCGTGATGTGTGTCGCCTCTACTTGGTCGGCCTCTGCCCCCACGAGCTTTTCCAGTTAACGGTAAATTAAGCCCCTTGGCTTCTTTTGATTAGTAGCACAAGGCCTTTTGCCGTAATCGTCAACCTTGACGGCGTTTGTTGTTTTTCAGAAAATGGATATGGGTCCGTGCCCTAAGGTCCACTCTTTGCAGCTCAGGAAAGAGTATCCTTTTATGCAATTTCTTGCTTCAATTTCATTTAATAATTGATGTGCATTTGAAATTTTGAATGAACTGTTGTTGTTTACACATTTCGATGGTACCAGTAGGGAAGCTTAACTCTAACCCAGATACGAAGAAGTGAAAGCGAACGGGACTGATAACTATGACAGAGACCTGGAGGATGTCATAGATAGGCTCATTGTTGAGTGTGATAGGAAAATTACTAGAGCTCTTAAGCGCCTCGAGGATGACGATGCCAAGGCTGCTATTGCCATTTCTGTCTCTGAGGTTACTCAGGTGATCCATCATTCAATCTTTTTTCTTTATCTTTTCTTTGTATATAAGGTGAATGAATCTTATGATTGCCTATTTATTGATTGTTTTTGCAATTCCAGACACCAGAGATACTTGAGTTATCAAAGCAGATCAAGGAGAAGTTGAAAGAAGTTGATCAATATGGTAACCTTTATCTCCTTGCTCCGTAGCTTCCGATGTCTCTTTTGCTTTTATTATTATTCTTCTTTCCAGATTGCTATTTCAAAACAAGCATGCCCTTTCTTGGTTTGCTCGGATGTTGTGTGTGTGTGTGTGTGTGTTTATTAACAATACATAGATGCTTCTCATTGCTTTTTGAGATTGGTTAATGCGTTAATGTCAACGAGTCACTAATATGTATAAGTAAAGTTTGACATTTATACTACATTCCACGGTTCTTTTGACTGCCGATCTTATGTTTTCAAGCCCTTTGTTTTCAGTTTGTCTTTATTTACTGAAAGTTCAGTTTCTTGTATATTTTCAGTTCTTGAATATGTACTAGAAATTTTGTTTGGTGATTCAAATCTGCAGATCTTGAAGGCAAGACAGATCTTAAGATTCGGGCTCTGGAGATTGTAGAAGAACTCAGAGGCAATAGAGCAGATAAACAGGTACATAGTAGGTTCTTGGCAAATTTATTTGTGTACTCAGATGTCTTTTGCGCTGTTCCAGTATAGTATTCCCTGATGTGGTGGGCATCTTGACAAGATTGTCAGCACCTTAACTTATATATATATATATATATAATTATATATACATATTTATTTATTTTTCTGTTAATAGTCCACCTTAACTTATATATATATTTTTTCTGTTAATAGTCCACATTACTTTTGGACGCTTTCAATAAGGATCGGGCAGCTTTACCCCAACCCCTACCAAATCCACCTCCTTTGGCACCATTGCCTGTAGTTGTTCCTGATGCTCGAACACAGGAAATGATAAATGAAAAGTTGAAGAAGGCAGAGGACCTTGGTAAGTGAAAATAATACTCAAGTTTTCAGGATTATGGCCGTCATGTGGTTTATCAATTGAGAATACATATCTTTTCATTAAGTTCAGGGTAAGGACTTTGGTAATTTAACTAGTTAATGCTCTGATACATCTTGGGCTAGTTTCTGCTCTAAGAATCAGGTTATATATTGTCCCTAAAGTTCTTTAACATCTTCAGGTGAGCAAGGTATGGTTGATGAGGCACAAAAAGCACTGGAAGAGGCTGAAGCGCTGAAGAAGGTATGTTAGATAAGATAATAATCTTTTTGAGATGGTAGTTAAGTGGTTCACCTACTCTACCAACCTTTTAACATCATTCTTTTGTTCTGAGTTTTGCATTTTTTGTGTTCTTTTTTACTTCCTGTCAATGGCTGCCGAGTGACTTCATTCTTCTCTGTTTAGCTGCCTGCGAGACAAGAGCCTATCCTGGATTCCTCCAAGTACACTGCTGCTGATGTGCGAATTGTGAGTTCATGTTACTTTATATATTGTCATAGATGTCACTTTGGGCAATTGTGAGAAGTAGATTTTCATTTAATATCATGGTTGTACTTGTAAGCTTCTTGTTTTATTTTCTTTCAAGCAACTCTTAACTTGTTCATCTTGGTGTTTTTACAGACTGATCAAAAGCTACGCGTGTGTGATATCTGTGGAGCTTTTTTGAGCGTTTATGACAGGTAAAGGTTGATTTGTTAGTCGTGCTTGCTACTCTAGTTACTAGCTTTCCTAGGTACACAAAAATTGGTATTTGGGGTTTCAAGTGCTTCAGCTTTTGACCCTACGATTATGCCTCCTTGTCACCAGCAGGCTCTTGTGCCCAGTTTTACGAGGATAACTTTTGCAGCTAAAGAATGTGCGTCTATTTCTGTTTTACGTTTATAGATCATGCTATTCTTGGCTAGAAATTTAAAGGGAATCTGTACTGTACATGAACATGACCTGCTGGAGCTATTGCATTTCTAAATTGAATGAATATTCTGATTTTTTTTGTTGTGTTTTTCAGTGACCGTCGGCTAGCTGATCACTTTGGCGGGAAGCTTCATTTAGGCTATATGCAAATCCGTGAGAAGTTAGCAGAGCTGCAGGTAAAGATGATGTAAATATATGAATTTGTATTAGGTTGGTTTATTCCTTTTTATGTTGGGTAAAAAATGGGTGGATGAACTGAATTTGTACTGGATGGTGGAAACTGTTTCTGAGAAATATGTTTCTGCATTTTGGGAAAAGTAGATCAGGAAATATATTGTCATAGTATTACATTTTTATCTGCAGAATCTTTGGTTTTATTTAAGGTTGTATTCTGAAACTGTTGGTTCAGGTGCTATGGTATTATGTTTCAAATCTATAGAGATTCTCATAAATATGGTATCTGTGAGTATAAATTTTTCAACCATCTTTTTCACTGTTATATAATTATTGAATCTGAATCCAAGTCTTGCACTTGTCAAGATATCCTTAAAGATTACGAAGCATTTTGGGGAAAAAATTGTAATATTCCACAAGGATGTATTCATATCTTTTTGTTGTAGGATGTTTTCTGTCAGTGTCATCTTTGAGAAAGGTGCATGCATAACATATCGTGGTTATGAATTAGGAATGACCTTCCTTACTGTATCATGTACTGAGGCCACACTGTTTAAGTTCTGCTTTGATATTAGTAAGTTTACTACTGACGAAGTATTTTCCTTTTTGAAGAATTTTAGGAGTATGTTAGAACATAGCTTGTGTACCTTTGAGAGTGGGTACACAGTACACCCGTTTGGTTGTAGTCACTATCTATATTTGGCATTCCCTATAGTAATCAAATGAAAACTGTGGAAAAAGGGATGGTGTCTTTATCTAAGTGATTTTTAATCCACTGTGAAGAATTTTACATGTTGACTTTATTAGTAAGCATCCCCATTTTTTTGTTAATGCTGATCTTAAATGTTGCTTCCCAAATATGACCCTGTTTTATCTCTCCATCAAGAGATTTCGTATTTCGTGCCATCCTATTAACAAAAGGGTTGCCAATTGTACTTTCTTGGCTATTTATTTTTCAGGAAGAGAGAAACAAGAGTCGTAAGGTCGATAGGACTGATGATAGGAGGTACGTTCTCTCGTTCTGTTACTCATAAATTTTTATACATCATGTAATTTTTTACGTTAGGTTCTTATAATTACAATTCTTTTTTTCTTCTTCAATTATTTACCACGTAGATCAAAGGAGCGAAGTAAGGAACGTGACAAGGAATCAAGTAGGGATAGAGAACGCGGAGCTAGCCGCGACCGGGGTAGGGATCATGATCGTAGGAGCAGAGATCATGATAGGTACTATGATCGAGATCGCAGATATGATCGCGAGCGTGACAGAGATTCAGAGCGCTCCCGCAATTATGATTCAAGAAGTTGCCGCAGGTCACGGTCGCGGTCAAGGGAACATTCCAGGGATTATGATCGCCACAGGTGCGTACTCGTCCATGGTGGCTGATGTTTGAACAGTTCTGTTTATTTAACATGCTATTAGTTTTTTTGTTCTCAGAACTGTAATAACAAAGCACCAGAACACATGCAATACTTTCAGAACATATTTGTCCTATGTATTTTGTATTTGTGCTTGCAATTTTACGGAAAAGTGCTATGAGCTTTTTGTTTTTATTATTATTTTGAAAATAGGCCTAGTGTTTTAAGTGGTAGCCTATAACATGCCTTGACCAGCATTTGTATGAAAGAATTTCTGGCTTGTCAACCTGTATATATTCTCCTCCCATTTGTCATTTTTCTTGTCTTACCTGTTAAAATCATTGGTCTATTGGAGAGTTGCTACCTTTTATGGACCACAAGCCAAATTGGTAATTGATGACATTGCCTTATCCTGTATATGAATGGTGAACAAGTCAATGTGTATAAAAACTTGGATACCTTTTAGTGATCATTGTCTGATATAATATTTTGTTCTTCCAGGCGTTATGATCGGTACTAGGTGATCCTTGCCGTGGAGCATGTGGAGAAAAGGGCGTTTGTGTTCTTGTATAGGTCAGTTTTAAAACTCATGTACCAAGATAAAGTTACGGTTTTTCCATTTGTTTTTTGCTGGAATTGAGCTGTTTCTCCTGCGATGGGTTTAAGGACTGGTGCTTAGTTTTTCTCAACTTCGTGTTTAAGAGGTATGTTTGGGAGGTATGTTTTACTTTGTTTTTAAGATATTGCTACTTGCATGTTACTTAGATATTTGGCCATAGAGGAGAGTGATTTAAGTAGTCACTTGAGCTATCTTCAGTTTGACTTCAGTAAGAAAGGATGGGCTGGGTTCGAGCATCCATTAATCATCATTTAGTGTAATCCGTATGGAGTGATGGGGAAGGGTGGTGTAGGAACTTAACTTTACATGATAATCATAAATCCTTGGAAGGAAGAGGTTTAGGAGTGAAGTTCTCGTTGGCACAAAAATTGTCTTGTGCGGTTTGTGATACGGTTTTGTTATATCAGTGATCTTGTGCCGAAGCTTCTTGTGAACATTAAATGCGTCGGGGAATGGTAGTTACATGGTGTGGGCACCTGGTGATGTATAACCCATATCTTGCTTGAGGTGCTTTTGAAATTTCGTGTATAACGTTCTAGACCTATTCTTGAGGATGAAACCCCATTTGGGCAATGTTCTGGGAGCCCTTGTATTTTGTTTTATTGTTCAATAAGGGGCAAAACTCCTGGCACAACTCATTTCAAAAGCTTTAATATCTAGTGAAAAATAAAATAATATTTTAAGGAAAAACGTGGGTTATGAATGCATAAAGAATTATAAGTGAAAAATTCATGTAAGACTGTTATATTGTTGAGGATAGAATCTCGTTTTGGCGATGTCTTGAGCCCCACTACGAATTTTTCATTTATTTTGTAGCTTTCGGCTGATTAAAACTACATTTGTGGCTACCAATTCCAAATGTATTATGAGGTTTTTCTTAATGCTCAGGAAAATTTTTCGGGAAAATAAAAAATATGCATTTTTTATGAGAAAACGTGGTTTACTCTTGAATTTTACCCGGTTTTACAATTTTGTACAAATTTTAGACAATCTATTTGCTTTGACCTTTGCCCCAGTGTCGTAGTTAAATCATCGTTCAATCTATTATTTTTAGCTTCGCCTCCTTTTTAAGCTTTGAAAATTAATCTAAGATTTTACGTTGGTATTCTTGAGGGTGGAACCCGATTTGATGTTGCTTTGGGCCTCACGACTATATTTTTCACTTATTTATACATTTGTTGCTTAAAAAATCGTAAAATTGCTTCCAAATGCCATATAAACTTTTCCTTAATGCTTATAGAAAATATTTCAAGAAAATAAAAAATTTTTATTTTTCACAAAAAATGCGGGTTAACACTCACGGTTTTCAGTTTGTTTTGCAAACTAATGTAAGACTTTTCGTTGGTATTCTTGAGGGGGAACTTGTTTTTCACAATATTTTTGGTTCTACTACTATATTTTTCACTTTCGGCCCAAATATTCTATTAAATATACATTTGTTGCTCAATAAATTGTAAAACCGCTTCGAAATGTGTTATATTGTTTTCCTCGATGCTCATAGAAAATATTTCACGAAAATAACAAAATTTACATTTTTTCACAAAAACGTGGATTTACACTCATGGTTTTTCAGTCCCTTGCAAATTCGTACATAAATTCAACTTATTTATTTTCACCTCACTGTGAAGTTTTGAAAATTGATGTAAGACTTTTTGTTGGTATTCTTGAGGGTGGAACTTGTTTTTCACAATATTTTAGGCCACAATATTATATTTTTCACTTACTTTTAAATTTTGGACGTAAATATTCTACTAAATACACATTCTATTGCTCAATAAGTTGTAAAGCTGCTTCCAAATACCTTATAAAGTTTTTCTTAATGCTCGTAGAAAGTTTTTTGTGAAAATAAAAAATTTTCTTTTTTCAAAAAAAAAAAAGGTTGGTTAACACTTACGATTTTTAGTTGGTTTTAAAAAGTTCGTAGTTAAATCATCATTCAATCTATTATTTTCAACTTCGCCTCCTCGTGAAGCTTTGAAAATTAATCTAAGACTTTACGATGGTATTCTTGAGGGTGGAACCCGATTTGACGTTGCTTTGGGTCTCACTACTATATTTTTCACTTACTTTTTTACCTTTGGGCTTAAATATTCTACTAAATATACATTTGTTGCTCAATAAATCGTAAAACCGCTTCCAAATGCATTATATTGTTTTCCTCAATGCTCACAGAAAATATTTCACGAAAATAACAAAATTTACATTTTTTCACAAAAAACGTGGGTTTACACTCATGATTTTCAGTCCGTTTTGCAAATTCGTACATAAATCATCGTTTAACTTATTTATTTTCACCTTCGCCTCACTGTGAAGTTTTGAAAATTGATGCGTAAGACTTTTCCTTGGTATTCTTGAGGGTGGAACTTGTTTTTCACAATATTTTAGGACACATTATTATATTTTTCACTTACTTTTTAAGTTTTGAACCTAAATATTCTACTAAATACACATTATATTGCTCAATAAATCGTAAAACCGCTTCCAAATGCCTTATTGTGAAGTTTTGAACCTAAATATTCTACTAAATACACATTCTACTAAATTCACCTTCGCCTCACCGCTTCCAAAATTTGTTTTTTTGACAAAAATGTGGGTTAACACTCACGCTTTTTTGTCAGTTTTTACAAATTCGTACATAAATCATCGTTCAAACTCTTTATTTTCACCTTCACCTCACTGTGAAGTTTGAAAATAAAAGTAATACTTTCCGTTAATATTGTTAAGGGCGGAACCCCATTTTAATAATATTTTGGGCTCACTACTATATTTTTCACTTATTTTTTTAGTTTTCGACTTAAATAGTCTAGTAAATATACATTTGTTGCTCAATAAATCGTAAATCAGCTTCCAAATGCCTTATAAAATTTTCCTTAATGTTCACGGAAAATATTTCGCAAAAATAAAAAATTTGCACTTTTGACAAAAAAAATGTGGGCTAATACTCATGGTTTTTAGTTATTTTCTACAAATTCGTACATAAATTTTCCTTAAAACTATTTATTTTTACATTTGCCTTACTGTGAAATTTGAAAATTATATTAGTACTTTTTGTTACATTTTTAATGGTGGAACCCCATTTTAACAATGTTTTGGGCCTTACTACTATATTTTTCACTCATTTTTTTTGTTTTCGATTTAAATAGTCTACTAAATATACAGTTGTTGCTCAATAAGTCGTAAAACCACTTCCAAATGCCTTATAAATTTTGCTTAATGCTCATAGAAAATATTTTGCGAAAATAAAAAATTTACATTTTTGACAAAAAAACGTGGGTTAACACTCATAGTTTTTAGTCGCTTTTTTACAAATTCATACATAAATCGTCGTTCAAACTATTTATTTTCACCTTCGCCCTGCTATGAAGTTTGAAAAATAAAGTAATACTTTCTGTTAATATTTTGAAGGGAGGAACCTAATTTTAACAATGTTTTAGGCCTCACTACTATGTTTTTCACTTATTTTTTTAGTTTTTGCCTTAAATAGTCTACTAAATATCCATTTATTGCTCAATAAATCGTAAATCCATTGCCAACTACCTTATCAAATTTTCCTTAATGCTCACGGAAAATATTTCACAAAAATAAAATATTTGCATTTTTTTACAAAAAACGTGGGTTAACACTTACATTTTTTAGTCGATTTTTACAAATTCATACATAAATCATTGTTCAAACTATTTATTTTCACCTTCGCCTAATCGTGAAGTTTGAAAATTACAGTAGTACTTCTTGTTATATTCTTGAGGGTGGAACCCCATTTTAACAATGTTTTAGGACTTGCTACTATAATTTTCACTTATTTTTTTAGTTTTCGCCTTAAATAGTCTACTAAATATCCATTTGTTGCTCAATAAATTGTAAATTCGCTGCCAACTACCTTATAAAATTTTCCTTAATGCTCGCGGAAAATATTTCACAAAAATAAAATATTTGCATTTTTTTTTACAAAAAACGTGGGTGTTCACAGTTTTTAGTCGATTTTTACACATTTGTACATAAATTGTCGTTCAAACTATTTATTTTCACCTTCGCCTAATTGTGAAGTTTGAAAATTATAGTAGTACTTCTTGTTATATTCTTGAGGGTGGAACCCCATTTTAACAATGTTTTAGGACTCACTACTATATTTTTTACTTATTTTTTTGGTTTTCGACTTTAATAGTCTACTAAATATCCATTTGTTGCTCAATAAATTGTAACTACGCTTTCAAATGCCTTGTAAAATTTTCCTTAATGCTCCCGGAAAATTTTTCGAGAAAATAAAAAATTTGCATTTTTGACAAAAAACGTGTGTTAACATTCATTGTTTTTGGTCAGTTTTTACAAATTCGTATGTAAATCGTTATTCAAACTATTTATTTTTACATTCACCTCACCATGATGTTTAAAAATTACAGTAATTCTTTTTGTTGTATTCTTGAGGGTGGTAATAACTGATATAACAGAAATATAGTTAGAGGGGTATTATTGTAAGTAGGTTATATGGCTATATAAGGGATTGTATAGCTATCATTTCCTTAAGTTCATTTGTATACATTTTATCCATTCAATCAATACAATCTCTCTGGTTTTCTCTCTATCATCTTCCTTTTCCTCTGTACCAACTTTATATTTTGCAATGTAGTTAATATGGTATCAGAGCCCAACTCAAAAGTTTCATGTGAAGGTTATGTTTTGAGTCCCTTTTTCTCTGAATTCTTGAACAATTAGAATGGATCTTTTCTGGGTTTTTTTTCAAGTTTTTTTGGTGCTGGTTCAGAATTACTGTTCTGCTACTTGGTTGTGGCTTGTGTTGCTTTTGGAAGTATATTTGTTCAAGAATTGGGTATTCTATTTGTGTTTTTGTTGTGCTCCCATTCTCAAGAATATTGTTGGATTATGTAAAATGGCGCTACCAGTTGGAGTTTTCTTTGGGTATTCAATAAGGTGAATTGTAGTGATTTGTGCCTTGGTGCGATGGGTTTTAAAGATGAGTTATGATTGCAGCTTATTTTGTGTATCAAGTATTTTGGGTTTTGAAGATGAGTTTGTTAGCATTGTTTCCGGTTTTTGTGAGTGGAGGATGTTGTTGCCCGTGCAGAGGATGAAAGTACTAGTTATATATTACCAAACAAATGGATCTGAACTTCTGTTACCTGGTCTGTCTGTCAGCAATTCGACTAATGGTGATTTATCTATAGTTTCACCCAATCTTAGCAGTATAAAATGGAGTATGAGGGGTTTGCATTTTGTGCCTCTGAACTTGTAAGAAATGGACAAGGAAACTCTCCTGAAAGTGGCAGTCCCATGCTAGTGAATCTTAGGCAGAACAGTGTGCCGGGGTAAAGCAGAGAAGCAAGCAGCAATGCCTGTTTACCAGTCAATTCGAGTGCTGGGTTTCTTGAAGATTTTACGCTTGGAGTTTATGCACATGTTCGATCTCTGGTGTAAATCAGGTGATTTTGCTCTTGGTATCCATATGCAAATCTATAATGTTGTCTGAGAAGTTTACTGTGATTTGAGAATTTGGAGCTCTCTGATATGAAAAATTTGCGCAATATCTACAATTTCTATGAATTGGACTTTCTATGATTTCGTTTTGTGTGAAGAATG